ACTGGATCTGGACTGTTGTCTCCTTGGCAGAGTTGAAGATGGTCACACTTATGGCTTCCTCCACACCAGCTCGGAAAACTGAAGGTGCTGCAATCAAATAACCCCTGAGAACCAAAATTAGAAGTAATCAGTCAAGACTCAGCAATAAGAGCATTATCATCATTTGTGAGCCACTTTATGTGTAGCAAAAGGAAAAGAACAAACTACTCTGCGACATATTTGTTCCTGTATGGTCACGTTTGTGACCACCACCAGTCTAAGCCTGTATCTAATATGAATAAAAGAACACAGGATGCACACAGAAACAAACCTAAGTGCTTACAAATGGCTTATAAATCCTTAAGATTTAAATAAAAAGAGTTCAATATCAATGTTTATTGCATATATATAATATACATTTATATGTAGCAAACTAAAGATACAATGAGCTGATTATATATTATATGTAACAAACTAAACATACAACCAGCTAATCATAAAAAATCATAAAGTTCATGAAGGAATAAGGAGGTACCTGAACCTCTGATAGAGTTTTGCAGCTAATGCTTTGTTTTGAAACAGTTTAGATACTTGTAACATTTTTACCTCAATCATTTTTCATGGCTTCATTTTCACATTCTCAGATCTGATACTTGGCCCTTTCTAAACATCAGACTCACACACATGTAACACACCTGAACTTCCAGTTTATACAGAAGCAGCAGTTACAAGATTAGGCTCAAATTCCCACTTTTTTATTTAAACAATTATGACCTGCAAGTATAAAAACACCAGCAAAAAGGCATTATTTTAGCAGGCACATGCAGAGTTTTAAAGCCACCCCAGACGACCTCCCAGAGATGCTGCAACCTGAGTATTTGTGAATGGAATCTGCACCACTCCTCCAAGAATGGCACCGTGCCAGGAACTTGTCAACTAAAAGCATTACAGGCTCTGAGCTCTTCTATGCATTTATATTCTCTTCATGACACACCTTTCTGGGTTTTTTTTCTACCAAAAAGGATTTTTTTTAATATGAGGCAATTCCCAAGATGCCTCTTAGAGCCCAGTTTCTCAGCCCATGCCTTTCTACAGTCTCCCAAACCAGGTTGCTTTAGCTCATGATTAATTATCACTTTGGGATGAGGACGATGGTGTTTTACAGCCCTCAAGTCATCTTTTATCAAATTCCAAGCCCACGTTTCTCTCTCAGCAGGCCTCATTGCCATGGAGATCCCATTACCCCCAAAGGAAGTTCAGAACTCTGTGGCATTCAAGTTAAATTGCATGGGGTACTTGCAGATTCAAAACCTTCTGGCTGCTAGGTTTGAAAGTTCATCAGAGCAGTAATGAATAACAATAAAAAGTTACTACTAAGCCTGCAAATTCTTGGTAAAAAAGAGATAGCTGATCTAGTTGCAGAGGAAGAAAGACTACTAGCTGTATTCAGGATGAAATGATAGGATTTAAACTGTCACATAAGCCCAGCTCTGCAGTGCCATATGTGAAGCACATGTACTCATATTGTTCTGAATCTCTGCAACTCTTTCTGAAGTACCAGTCCCTTGACACAAATATTTAAATCACTTTTTAAGTGGCATTTAAATATTAAATATTTAACTTTGCACTCGAAACGTTAACTTGACAGTGACGGGACAGATCCTTTAAGCACATTTGACTATCAGCTCTGTCAGGTTACACCAAAACTTGGCAGGATACGAAATATTTTCTAGTAAGCAAGTGAAAATAAGTTCTCCATGGCACTCAGTTAATGCACCTATTCACGTTGCTGACGGGCTACAACAAGCTAGGCATAAAGAACAAAGCAAACCTTAATCAAAATTAACCTAAACACACTAGAACTAGCTGTAGGTTCAAAATTAACCTAAACACGCAGAACGAGCTGAAAGCCAGAGAACTTCCCCGCAGTTTCTCCCCGGCTAATCTTCCCCCACAGGATCTTCACACGCTCCTCGTGAGCGCCCAGCATTACCTCCAACCACCCCCAGCGCAACACCCCGGATTCCTTAAATAATTGCTCGCAGATAGGAGCTTTGCAGCCGCTCGCCGGAGCAGCTGGAGGCAGGTATTGCAAGGGAGCTTTCTCCTTCTTTTTTTTTTCCCTCCCTTTCCCTTCGCTGTGCACTTTTGCACCGGCGAGTACAAACGTGCCGCTGCCGCAGCCTCCAACCCCTCCGGCGGGCTCCGCGGGCTTTGTTAAGAGGCTGATGCAGCTCCCCCCGAGCAGAGGGGTTCGCAGAGGGGTTCTCGCCCCGCCGCCCTGCCCGGGGATGCTGCCCCGAGCTCCTCCCGGTACTTACTGCCGGTCTCGGGGCTGTGCAGCGCTCAGACTGCCCAGGGCGAAAAGTAGCGCCCAGGGGCTGCAGCGAGACATGGTATCGCGAATCCCGTTCGGGGCGGGCAGCTCCAGGAGCCTTTTGTTCGTGGCTGAGTGCAGCCCGAGCCTCCGCCGCCCGCGCCCGGGCTTGGCTCGGCTCGGTTCGGCTCCCCGGTGCTTCTGGCCGCCGCCCCCGCCGCGTCCCCGCCCCCGGGCCGCCCCCTCCTGGCCCCGGTGCCCGCTCGGCCCCGGCTCTTTGCTCTTTGTCTGTCGTTCCCCCGCCCGCTCCTGACAGCGGGGCCCGCCCCGCACGGCCCCAGGTGTGCTCCCTCCCGGCTCCGCACCTCCGGCAGCGCTGACAGCGCAGTCGGGCCGGGTGTCCCCGCCTGTCCCCGGGGCTGCTGCGGCATCGGCGCCTCTACTCCCCAGCCCAAAGTGCCCCCGGAGACCCGCCCGGGCTCCTCCGCCTTCCTCCCGAGTCCCTGAGGTGCCACAGACGCGAAAGCCGAGGTTACCAATGATCCAATGATCCGGCACTCCCAGCACGGTGTGTTCCCGGTAACTGAGCCTCTGCGCGCCGAGGGACTCCACTGAGCGCTGCCAAAGAACTGCTTCCCAACCCAAAATCCAGTGCCAGCACTGATGCTACTCTGGTTTTTTACCGGATCTTTTTATCCTCCTCCATCCGTAGGCCCGAGTCTATCCATCTCCATCCCTCTGTCCCAGCCAGTGCTTCCAGGGGCTCGGGACAGGAGAGGGAGCTCCTGTCTGAAGAGGTGCAGCTTAAGAGTAGAGCTCACACAAACCGGGGGAAAGCAAATCCAAAGCAAGAGCAGAGATTCGAGATGAAAAATGTCACAACAGTGACGGATTAAATGCTCCAACAGAGCGGAATTCTTGCCCCAGAAATAAATGAAACCCCTCAATATAGGCAGTTTGTTTCCCCCAACATGTTTCCCCCAAATACTACACACCTGGCTTAAGGTAAAGTACCAGGAAAACAGAAAAAAATTATAACCTTTTATTCTAGGTTGGCTCCAATATTTGACCCTCAGTTTCATTTCTTCTCAAAATCACAGGTATGGACCCCAGCATTTTATTTAGCAAAAATACACATTTGTATCCAAGTCAGCTCAAGAGTTTCCCAAAGTCCCTTCCTTCTGGCTTCTGACAAGAAAAAGAGCAAGTTGCTAAAGCTGCTGTTATTTTTCTCCATCTTGAAATAATTTCAGCTACCATATATTTCAGCACTGTCATTCCTAGCTACCACATTTTCTGCAAGGCAATCCATTCCCTAAAAGCACAAAGTCATCAAAAGGAACAAGGATTCCCTGACAATTTCAGCAACAGGACTCAGAGGCTGATTGGTCCTTAACCAGGAGATAAATAAATGGTGCCTAAATTTTTATCTTATTTGAAACTTACTTTAATATGTCTTCTCTTTAAAATAAAATCATTAACTCAGTAGGTTTTTGATAAATTCAGACTATCTTCAGTAGTGGATAACACTGCTAGACGTGGTTACATTTTCCTACTTAAATCTAACCTAAACCAGCCCTGCCTTATTTTTGTGGAGAGGCAGAACAAATCTAGAAGAAGAATGAACACATTTTGACAAATTAGACAAGACTAGACTCTAGAACCACAGGGATCACTTCCCAAGGAAACCATGCACTGTGAGAAGGAACTTATTAGAAAGTACATTAAAGGGGGAATGTTTTGGGTTTGGCTTTTTGTTTGTTTGTTTGGGGTTTTTGAGACAAACTAAAGAAAAAGCAAAATCTGCTAATTCCAAATTCTTTTTCAGCTTCATCATATTCATCATATTAAAGGAGGCAAAAAATGAAAATGAAGCACCTCTGCTGTTCTCATGGTATGGCAGCCTCAAACTAAAGTACAATATCTCACCAACCAAACTACTGACTTTGATAGAAGCCCTGCAGAGATCAGGTATGTTTGGGCTGAAACATCATCATGCTTTCGAAAAAATAATTATCTCTACACATACTTTTCTAGAGCAAACCACAAATGGTTCATTACAGACTCATACTTGAGATCTGCAGGATATGTACCAAAAAAATCACCAAGTGCCACTGAACACCCATCCTGTCACCCACATTTCATCTTTGAGAAAGCTCTGGGTAAGGACTCGAAAGAAGCAACAGGATTCAGCAATGAATTGATAAATGGAGCAAAGTGTAGCTCTAAAATGGAGCTCCATCATCTTCAGAATAATACACAAATGTGTATTTCTACATTTCAAAAAGCACAGCTAGAAATTCCCCTTAAGTGGAATAGAGCCCTTTGGAACAACTAACTTTTTTAAAGGTGAGATTTCTTCTAAACTGAAGAATTTCTGTTTGACATTTACTGAGTACAAGAAATCTCAGGCAATTACAACCTCTAAAGCAAACCATCTTCTAATTATGAAAGTATGTGCAATCCTGTAAATAAGGCTGGAATCAGCTTCGTCTGAAAAAAAAAAAGGAGGCTTTAGATATAATTTCAAACTATTTACTTACTGAAATGGAATTTTCTGTGCTTGCCAAAATGAATCCCATTCAGTGTGATGCAACAGGTGTTGGAATTCCAGCAGCCGCCTGCAACCCACATCTGGGAATGGTTAAGGAGTTTAAAGGCTGTAAGAACTGCTCATGTATAAAAACTATTCATCAGTCAGATCCATGGGTCATATTCACCCACTGTGCATAGCTAGGATTTTTGTTCGTTTACTGAATGCGTAATTCTGCTCCTCATGAAGTTTGAGGAATCTCAGGCACTTGAAAACATGTGGGGCCATACTGGTGTCAGAAAGGTGAGGGAGGGACAGCAGTTAAGAGAAGAAGGTGTGAATACACCTATATGGGTTCTGACTAGATCTAATTTACATCCTGACCCCTTGTACAATCTTGTCACTTCTCTACAGAAGAAATTATCACCCTGATGTCCCATCTACCTCATAAATAAACTATGCAATGTGAAAATTATCCGACAGCTATTTGTCAAACAAAAAATGTTAATTTTTGAGTGCTGTGAATCCTTTTGGATCCCCCCTCCAACTGCAAAATTCAAATCAGTGAGATTACTCCCAAGAATCAAGTGGTAGGACCACCCCATTAATAATTAGCCCTTGTTAATTGCCTCAGCATAACTGCTGTCACCAACCTGTCACGTAGATGATCAGATCAGATCTATAAAAGGTAATACTCACTTATTTAAAGATTTTGAGAGTATATATGTAAATTGTGCACAGAAAAGATACTGTACTAAACCCAAGGCTATTACTTATTCAGCTTTGTGTTAAGTCCTGTAAGCACTAGATTTCAGTAGAAGGTGGGCGAGAAATAAAGAACAAGTCCTCAGTTTCCAGAATCATTTGTCCCCACTCCCCAATGGAAAAACGTTTGTCTCAGTCATTACATAGCACCAGACAAGAATAAGGCCTTAATTAATTTTATAGTATTATATTCATGGTAAAAAAGCCACACTCATTCTTTAACTCCCAGTTTAGTTCTCCCTTTGTGTTTCTGGGACAGCCAAACAGATAGCAAATACAGAAACCGATAACTGCAAAACAAATGTCCCAGGCTTTGCCACACTCTTGGAAGCTCCCCAGGGTGAAGGCTTAACAGAGAATGCATCAGTCCACAGCGGTGGAAACCAGACTGATCCTTCTTCCAGGAAAACAGGCATCTCTAGAACAAAATTATAAGGAAAGGATAATTAAAGAGCACATTTTAAATTAGAGTGTAATCTGAGTAGCATATAACAGGATAATGATATTGAGAACATAATTATTAAATAGCTCTGTCAAAAATCGTTATTATTCATCTGTAGAACAGGAAAGCCTGATCTTTCACAGCAATAAAACATTTTAATTCCTGACAAAGTGATGGAAATAGTACTAAGAAAGCATTCAAAGGGGCAGACGCTCATCTAGAAGGAAGAGCACTGTGCTTATCAGAAGTGGCTGTCATTGAGACATTTAGTCAGAAATAACTTCCCAGTTTCCTTTGAAATAGTTTTATAGTTTTCTTCTCAGCCCCAACATATGACTGGCACAGTTTGTGCATAGTCCGACTAACAGTGAAGTCACTTCCCACGTGCAATAGATACTAAAATGTGGAATTAAGTTCTGATATGCTACAGGCCACCTCCAAATACACATTATCTATATAAATAAAAAGATTAGAAAAGTCTGAAGAGGCAAGTTGTGTTTGCTTCCCTAATACAAAAAATTCAAGATTTAAGCAAGAAACTCAATAGGTCTTGCGTACACAATATCACAGAATTATTTTAAAATAAGAGGCAGCTGAGACTCCTCTGCAAACCTTGTGCTTGCTTTGCAGGCCACACACAAATGCAGTGGAAGAAACAACTCAAAACCATTCCTGAGTTGAGCAGGAACGTTCACTTAATCACTGGAAATGCTCTTAATTGGTGTGGCTCAGTGGTGCATTTCAGAGCTATTAGATCTTCTGCCGCTCTGGAACTCTTTTCATGTCCTGGCAGTCCCAGCCCAGTCAGCAGTTTGTTTATCATATTCAGGATGAATTTCCGGATCTCCAACAAAGTGGTATTTACTCTGAGGCAGGGAAGACTGCAGTAATCCAATAAGTTCTCATTAGCCTAAAATGCAGAAACATCTGCTGGGGTCATGAGCTGCTTATGTGCTGTTGATGAGCACAGAACCAGTACCCTCTGCAGCAGTGTGAAAAACGAGCTGGGGGGAGGGGAACAGGAACCCCGAGGATCTCCCAGGGCACCCCAGGCAGGAGGGATCCTGCCTTATCTTGACCCTAGAGAACAGGAATTACAGCCAAAAAATGCCTTGACTCAGCCCTCCCGAGCTGGTGTCCCATCTCCTCTGAAATCACTGCCTGTGATGTGCTGCAAGTTAAAATAGTTGTTTTTCTAGTCAGTAGCTTTCTGCTGAGCGAACAGAAATGAGAACCTGTGGTACTTTGGATCCCTCAACTGCACTGGAAACTCCATTGCCTTTAGCACAGGAGCCTGCCCTTCTCTATACTCCTGGTCCATCAGGCTTCCCCTGAGGACCCACCATGTTAACTGCAGATGGAGTGGTAAATAAAATAAAAGTCAGGAGATGCAGCAGTTAAGGTGATGTACCTTTGACAGTGGAGTTCTGGAGATCATGAAATTAAGAGATTTAATGCAGAGCTGGAGAACGGAAAGTCATGGCTTTTGGTTCAAGCCATATAGTCTGCTCATAACCCTTAAATATTTTTTAGTCCAGTAAGAACACAGAGAAATGAAGATCTAAATCACAGAACTCAATGAAAGAGTCTGGCAACATCAGCCAGGAACTCAGGAGAATGTGGTCAGAGCTCTACCAGGATCCAGGCAGGGCAATCTGCAACTGCAAACCCTGCTTAAAAGAGCTGCAAATCTCTTTTTAGACAGTCTTAAAATCCCTTTCTCCCCCCCACAAAAGCACTTTAGAACACATGAATGTTAATAATTGGTTAAGAAGAACTTCTGCCTAAAAGATGAATAAATAGGCAGCAAATACTGCACAAGTTCAGACAAAACAAAACTAAGTCTTCATTGGTACAAGCTACAGAAGGGAGAACATTATTAATTCTGGGGGAGGGAAAAGAAAAAGATTGATAACCTGAATAAAAAAGAGCCCTTAATTTGTTTAGGATTCCAACCGATTTAGAGCATGTAACACTGTCAGAAAATAAGTGGAAAATACAAAATAAGTGGTGTCACATCTGTTTAGCTCCTGCTCCAGTGATTCTGCAGCTCTTTGTTGTTGTTTGTACAGTGTTAAATGACAGCATCCAATTCTGTAGCTGTTTCAAGGTGGAGGAACCTAAAACCCTTCTGCAAAGAGCCAAAGCAGAACCACTTAGAATATTCAGAAAAATTCAAGAAGGAAAAGTCTCAGTCCAAACTAGTTTCAAAGCCTTTCCTGGAGAGGCTGAGCTGCTTTGGCTGACACTTGTTCTACCATTTGTATGAAGAATTACACAAATGTTCAATTTAAGGCAAAGAACGGCCAGAATGCTCAAATTAATGCCTCTGGTTGTTCTGAAACAATGAGCGCACATCCCCGGGCACGGCATTGTTCTGGACAAGTAGTTTGGCTCCAGCTCCAGGACTCCCCTTTTCCCTGGAATTGTGTGAGGATAACGACTGCCACCTGCAGCAGCAGAGATGAACTACTGCCCCGAGGATTTAGAGCCTTTAATTGTGGTCACAGCAAGCACTGCCTCTGGGGGAGAACTAACAGCATTCCACTCCTTTTTAGAGGGAAAATTTGCGTGGCTGGCTGTTGCTCAAGTAACATTTGGGTGTATAGATACACACACAATAGTATCTCAGTGGTAGAAAATCATTTGACTGAAGAGGATGGGTTTAATTTATAAGTATTTCTTAAAGAAAAATATATTTTTAGAACAGCAATGAGGTGTACAATCAAGAAATCCTAGGAAAGACATTTTGGTATGTCTGTTCAGAGACATTATTATCAAGATATTACAGTATTGATTTTAATTTCATCTCCTTCATGTTTAAGACATCACTTCATGACTTTCAGAGTCTCAGAATGACACACTGATCATAAGAAGGTTAAAGGTGTGAGGACGCACAGCCTAAGCAATAATCCAACCCTAGGAAAAAACACTTTCATCACATTGGAGCCTTTCTACCCACATCTCTATCCACCAAAACTAACTACCCTACTTATTTGTAGCTAAGCTATGATTGCTGGGCAAAGTTCCCCACCCAGTGGACAAATTCATTGATGCAGCTCATGCTCCTGATCCAGAGCATGATCCATCTACCTGCAACACTTACAACTCACTTTTATTTTATTTTTATTTTATTTTTGTGCTGAATGGTAGCACACACAGGTGAACTACTAGGGGCAGATCATCTAATATGTTCCTACAATAAAACCGGCTTATGGGTAAGTTGCAGCTAAAAAAATGACACTGCCATTATATACAAGTTGGGTCTGAATAGTTGTTATACACTGGCTTCTCATCCAGTGCACAGCATTCTACTGATCCAGTTACTTAATTTACTCCTAATTTTTAATAAAAGGGGACAAGAATCTAGTTAGACCGTTAGTGACACAGGAAGAAAGCCTGAACAGCACTTGAAGGAGTGCAAGGAGAATGCTCCAAGAATTTTTTTGAGGCTAAAAGGCCTTATAGACACAGGTTAAGCCAGAAACATACCCCTCTGAACACAACACAAAGCAAAGGTTTTGAAAAACCATCACAGAAAGACGTTCCATAGCTCATAAAAAACAAGATACAGCATGTCTTCCAGAGAAAAATGCATTCCAAGTACAAAAAAGGAAAGCATGCCAGATCTGGCATGTATGTTCATAGCCCAGCACACCTGCTCTCCAGCACTTTCTCAGTCATTAGGCTTGTGATTTCCCTCCACATTCCCAATCCTTTGGCCTGACCACTTCAGGTGCTCATGGCTCACCACTGGGACCACTCAGTGTGTACAAGTCCATTGCTGGACTGTGTAGTATCAGCCCAGCTGGAAACAAAAGCTTCTGTAGGAAATCAGTGAAGATATTCAAGCATGATACAGCAGTGGAAAATATTCTTTATTATTAAAAAGAATTAAAGTCCTTAAAAAGCATTGGGACTACCAGACCTAACTAAGCCTTTTGAACTGTTCACATATGAGCAACTGAATGTTGCTCTGGGGGTACTGTCACAGACCCTGAGAAACCAGCAAAGGGCTATGGCTTACTTCTTCAAACAGCGAGACAGTGTTAGCCAAGGGTGGCTGGGGTGTTTGAGAGCTGTAGCAGCAACTGTTATCCTGATCCAGGAGGCCCAAAAACTCACCCTTGGGCAGCACATGGTCGTGTATGTACCCCATGCAGTCCAAGCTGTGCTTGAGGAAAAGGGGGGCCACTGGCTGTCCCCCAGCAGAATGCTTACATACCAAGCTGAGTTGTTGGAACAGGATGATGTTACCCTGAAAACAACATCTATTGTAAATCCTCCTATGTTTCTGTCCTCAACATTGACTGACAGTGTGCCTGAGCATGACTGTTTGCAGACCATTGAGGAGGCCTTTTCCAGCAGACCAGACCTGAAGTACGTGCCTCTGGAAAACCCAAACTGGGAACTGTACACAGATGGAAGCAGTTTCATGAGGGATGGAAAGCAAATGACAGGGCATGCAGTGACAACCAAGGACGAGGTAGTCGGGGCAAAGGCCTTGCCAGCGGATGTATCACCCCAAAAGGCGGAACTGATTGCACTGACAAGAGCTCTCGAACTGAGCGAAGGAAAGAAGGTAAATACATGGACCGATTCTAAATATGCATTCAGTGTTGTATGTGCCCATAGAGCCATCTGGAAAGAGAGAGAGCTACTAATGGCCCAAGGCAGTGGGATCAAACATGCAGACCAAATCCATGCACTCCTACAGCGTATGTGGAAGCCTGAGGAAGTGTCTATCACGCATTGCAGAGCTCATCAGAAGGGGAAAGCAACTCCCGAATTAGGAAATCATTTTGCCAACCAGGTGGCAAATGGGGCTGCAGAAAAAGGTATCCTAGCAGTAATACCACAGAAGGAAATCGCTCTGACAGGGTTCACCCCAAAATATGATGAGAAAGACCACCAGTTAATTAAGACCCTTAATGCTGAAATGAAAGAAAGTGGACAGGCTGTTACACCTACAGGACATGTTGTAATCACACCCCAACTCCTTAGGGAGATAGCTCTGCGGGAACAGGAGGCTACCCACTGGGGAACAGAAAACCTTCTAAAACATCTGCCTATTTGCAGAAGGCAGTAATAGGGACAGGTATGACCAAAGTCGTGCAATCCATTTTAAGTAAATGTGAAATCTGCAGGCAAAATAATCCTGATACAAGCAAGAGAGTGGTGCCAGGGGTAACAAAGGCCAGGGACCTTCACGGAGATTACTGGCAAATAGATTTTGCTGAGTTACCACCCAGGGAGGGATACAAGTACATACTAGTACTGGTTGACACAATGGCCTGAAGCTTACCCCTGTCACACTAACACAGCAAGGGAAGTGCTAAAAGTTTTGCTCAACCATATAATTCCAAGGTTTGGGGTTCCTCTAGGAATGTCATCAGATAGAGGGACACGTTTTATTGCAACAGTAGTGAAGGAGATTTGTCGCGTCCTGGGAATTGCCTGGGACCTGCATACTCCCTACAGACCTCAGGCAAGCGGCGAAGTAGAACGTATGAATGGTACTCTTAAAATGCAAATTGGTAAAATTTGTCAGGAAACATCCATGTCATGGGTTCAGGCTTTACCTCTAGCTCTGTTGAGAATTCGCATACAACCACGGCGGAGAAACAACATAAGTCCTTATGAAATATTATATGGGAGACCATACCAAGCTCCACATATTCCAGGGGACATTCACATGAGGGGGAAAGTTGATCTACAAAAGTATTTATAGAAAGTGCAGAGATTCATTAAGTTATCCAGACCCACAGGATTGGACACCCCTGCCCATCAATTCCAGCCTGGAGACTGGGTCTACGTTAAATGCTGGGACAGTGACCCACTGCAAGCCAAGTGGAGAGGACCATTCTGAGTCCTGCTGACTTCCCTCGCTGCAGTCCAAGTTGCTGGCAAAGGACCCTGGTTTCATTACTCCAGAGTTAAGAAAGCTTCAGTTCCTGGAACTACTAGCAAATCAGAGCCTGACACCGATGAAGAGCATGTGGCCTAGACTGTTTCTTCTGTATATGTTATCTGTACAGTTGGTAACTATGACTCAGGTTTAGAACCAAAATTTACATGTGGCTTTAGCAAAAATGGATCCAATATCCTTCATGAAAGTGAGTGCTGGATTTGCACTATGGATTCAGCTGAAATTTGGCAACAAGTTTAAATTCTACATTGGGCAATTCCTGAGGATGTCTCACTGGGTTTTGGAGACATTCTCCACAAACTTACTTCACGGTTACCAAATTGGACCCAGATAAAACAACTGTTTATATTAGTGATATGCATAATTAGTGTTTGTATAATAGCTCATTGCATGAACCGATGTTGTAGATGTTGGCCATCTCTCTGGTATAATGATAGGTATAAGTGGTAGAGATTGGACAAGATTGAGTTTTATCCATCTCTAAAGGGGGGACTGATGCCTCAGAGCTTTTTTATCCTGATTTTTAAACTTTTATAGATTTTAGAAGTAGATGTGTAGTGAACGTAGATTTTAATGTAGCTGTATTATATCCCTACGGGGGCCCCCTGGTGGTCTAGTGGTTAGGATGCAGCGCTCTCACCGCCGCAGCCCGGGTTCGATTCCCAGTCAGGGGACTTCCCCGGGCAGATGGAGCTCGTCAGCCCTGTAAGGCCATCCATCTAAGAGAAGGTCACTCTAAACAAACCTACGTCCTGAGGACCTCACTGCCACTGTCCGAGCTCGCTTGGCCCCAGCAGATGAACCTTAGGATTAAAGGGTGGGCTCAGTTCAGCACACACTGTGTCTCATCTAAAAAATCCACTGCGCAGGCTCGAAGGGTAAAGACCTTTCCCAAAAATCTTCGTTCACGAAGACTGGCCATGATGATATCCCTTACCCTGTAGCATAATGTTTACACATACCCAACCCTATTATCCCATTTCATATCAATCCCTCTAAAATTTCATTAGCATGTTTAGTCTTCTTTTCAAGGTAGAATTGTAGAAAAACACCCTAAGGCCTGGACCAGAAGATATCACATAGACACAGCGACCTTCAAGCCCAGAACCTTGGAGGAACCCCAAGGATTCTATGTGCTTTGAAGAAGATGAAGATGAGGAAGAAGGGGTCCCAAAGACCCCAAAGCCAATTCCCAAACAGGTGTGTCAGGGGCAGAATGGGGCAGAACCAGGGTTGGACAGAACCGGGATTGGATGGACCTTATTATAAAATCATAGAACGACTGCCTGAGGGGGTGTGCGAGGTACGTATTCCCTGGGCCTTAGGCCTGAGGTTAAAGGACCTGCTCTCTTTATCTCATCTTATACAATAAATTGGCCTGGAGTCTTTTTCTCCGCAGTCTTTTAGGCAACACCAGGAATATTATTTACTTATTATTTCTTATTATTTACTTTACAGTATCGTCAAGGCAGAAAGTGATGAAACAGCTGTCACAGAAATCCATGTTAAAAGAGAGCTGTGATGTGTCCTGATGGGACAGCAGGCAGAACAACACTCCATTTTCTGTATCAGTGCTGCTGGTTTCACATCCTCATATAACTGAAAAACTGTTGTATGTTCATACAAGAAGCAAAAGGATAGCATGTCCAATGGCATTGAGTTAGCACCTACCCAGCAGTAAAACTATACAGAAACTTAGTTGAAATACCAGCGTTTCACAACATCTAGCCCGTGCTTCTCTTCACATGCACTTTGGTTATGCAGAGAAACTTCTTTACTGACTTCAAACGACAGGTTCTGCACTTCTCTGAAGCTCCTGGAACACATGAAGCTGAATCAGTGACTCCAAAGGACAGTGACTTCTGCTTTAGCCCAAAGACTACACACCTGGACATTGGTGTCTTTCTCCTACTATGGCCCCACCAGAATAAAAAAAAAAGTAAAATGTGAATTTTCTTCCCTAAGACAAGAATCTGGAGAATACAGGGGCAGTTGGCAGGTGGGGGAGATGAGTAGCTTCAATGATTTGAGTTGTAATCTCTTCCGGGACAATGAATGAAATATTCTTGAATATGTCATGCTTTAACTCTTCTTCACTTTCCTGGTGGTACTTTGTATTTGTTGATACAATACTTGAGGAAAAAAAAAAAACAATTCTATGCTCCTAAAGGATGATACATTTGCAGGGTTGTTATTTAAGACATTGTTTCCAGTTCACTTCTCTGTCTCCCAGAGTTCTCCACTCCTACATATTTGCACTTACCAGGTCTGTTCTTGCTCACTGAAATTCTCACCTAAAGCGGCAGAGAATAGCACACTAAAGTAGTTCACTTGGCACGCACAAACAAAAACAAAGCCAACCATCCTACTTTGACTGTAGGTAGGGCAGGGACAGAAATGCAGATGGGCTGCTATAAAGAGAATTAAACTTACTGCTACCAAACCCTCAGTTAATCCTCCTCCATTCTATGTTCTGGATATATTCTGGCAAGGTTGATAGATTTTCCTTGGAATATTTAATCAACAAGTCTTCCACCCAACTTTTGTAATTACCTTTGAAGCTCTTTATCCAGTTTCTGAGACACTTCTTTAAGCTCTTTCAGTGCAGTAAGTGCTTTTGCACAGTCTTCTGAGTGGCTTGGCATAATTTCTGTCAGAAGCTCCCGTGTGATCTTTAATTGCTTTCCCAGTTCATCTACAAGTGAGATGTTAAAGGTATTATTAAAAATGCAGTGCCACCAGTTAATACAGGATATCAGCAGCTGGAGTAACCCAGAGGCAAGTGAACTAGATAATGAAAAACTACTGTTTGTTCAGCTTTCACAAACACACTGTGAAACTGTGAAAGCCAAATTATTTTTCATTATTGTGACAAGCACTAGCAACGGGCTATTGAATGAGAGGTTGATTAGCAATTTTAGAGTATGCAAATGCGAGAGAAAAAATAAGTTTTAAACATCCAAAATTCCCTGGCCAGTTACATGTATTGCTCTTGGCATGTAGCCCCCCAAGAAATTTATCCAGTCATTTCCTTCAGCGTTCATAAACCAAAAAGGAACATAAACCTATTTATTTCAAGTCTTCTTACAAGAATTCTAAGTTCTTTAATAAATGTTTCCATTTGTTTCTAAGTGCAAGATTATTGTAAATTGTTTCTTGCAGACCAGTAGTTTAAAAATGTAACTTTTTGTCCAGACTTCAATACAAAACACATGTACTGATTTATTGAACATTCTGATTCAACACAACACAATAATATTTAAGCTCCAGTTCTACAAGAAACATGAGCAAGTCTACCCAGGTGAGTGTATCTCTCAAACACAGAAAAAGGAAGAGATCACAGTATTCCTACATTTTCCTCATTAACATTTTCCTTACTTACTTATTTATTCCTCCATATTCCTTATTTACGCAGTAGGGACAAGAAATGAGGAGTAATGTCATGAATACAGTTAAAATATACAGAAATTTGCTAAAGAAGGTGTATATGAAGACTGACCCAGCTTAAAAAATTAATCTCTTCCCTGCTGCAAGATAAAAAACCTGTTCAAGTGCAGTGAAGTGGTTAAACAGAGATAAGAATTACACACAGCACAATGTGTGACTAATGCTGCAGCCCAGTGTTCACATAAGCTCTAAGAGCACTCAAAATTCCTCCAATAGCCATAGACACATGTAGCAATAACAATATAAGAAGTTTTTTTAGCATAAAACCACTATTTCTGAAAGTAAATTTGGTAAATCAAGTTTTCATACCAAGATATGTTTGCTTATCTCCTTCTATGTGAATGTTCTTTATGGGTAATTCATGTCTAGTGGCATCCAGGGAAGCTGCAAAGCTTTTATATTGCTTTTGAAACTGTTCACAGACAGGAACGAGGGGAGACAGCACTTCAATCTGAAACACATACACAATGAACCAAGACTTCTCCAAAAGCAGCTACTTTGTAATTAAAAACATGGCTCAATACAGAAAAATAATTTATTAAAAAACCTCCAACCAAATATCACTCTGAAATGCTTTCTGACAGAGGAATTCAAGAAATTTGTGGTATAATAATCCCATCATGCTGTTTAATATGTTTTCCTCTACCACCTCAAAACGCCCAGGTCAATACCAGTTTCTTTGGTCCTGTAGCTCAGAGGTATCAGCAACACAGCAGGCAAAAGGTTTTATAGCAGATGCTTCAATTACTTTAACTGTACTTAACAAGAGTGTTCTCCAAAAGCCTTGTTTCATTTTTGCAGTGCATATTTGTTAAAAAGCAAAGAGAGATACAGTTTTGAACATTAATTATTCATAAGAAACCTGTCTTCTTACAGCCAAATTAGAGCTGGGTAACACAGACAAACCAGACAAAGAAAGAACACAAGATATTCACTTCTCATTAAGGGTTGGCATCTCAGCTCCAGCAGAGAAATATTCTCTGAATAAAGGGCTACTTCATATATGAGTTTGTTTAAATGTAAGCATAAATTGTAAACAACCTACCTGTTTGTCTAATGCTTCACTGAGCTTCTGCTCTCTCTCTTTAAGCAGAATTTCACGTTTCAACTCCAAGAGCTTCTCCTGTTGTCTCTGCTTTTCTTCAGACAACATCATCAAGTTTTTTTCTGCTTTTTCCTCCAGCTTGGCAAGATTTTTTCCTGTCTATTACATCCCAAAAATATGCACAGTTAAGGCTACACCTAAGCAATTAACATATTCTGAGTAAACAGATGTAAACCAGGTCAAAGAGCTGTAACTAATGAATAGGAGACATCACGTAATAAGCACAGAACATCAGAATTAAAGCCCCCCTCAATCCTCTTTCCCCTACTGCTTTTTGTAAAGGAAAATACACACATACACCACTGAGGGAAAAAAGTCACTGCTATAACCTTGAACTCCAGCCCGACTCACACAGTTTTCCCAAAACTTCTGCATCCCCCCAATTCCTAAGAACCAGCACCAGATAATAAACTGGCACTAAACTCACTCTAAGAGTTTTCAAAGCAAATAACACACTTTTACAACCATAATCACATACAGTCACAAAAATCTAACTTCTATGGATCAGGAAGCATTTAAGAAATTAAACAATTCCTCAATATCAGGTTCTACCTGAAACACCAAATATTTGACTGACTCTCACCTCTATTCTTAAGTAAGTTAAAAGTAGTGTCTCAGATTCCAGCTCTGTCATTGAATCACTGGAATCAGTTTCCTTCAGAAAAGAAAAGAATATACTGCATCAAGTTTGGTATTTAAGCAATAATTTTTTCAGTGGTCAAATAAATTACCAATAGTCCGATTTGTGCCTGGAATCATCACCAACAACAGTAAGTTTGATCAGAAAAGTTTGGGGTTTTAAACAACTCGTGTTCATTAAATATACCTTATTGTTCCACAACATTTTATAATATTTTCAGCACGTTTTCATAATACTGGCAGAGAATTTGAAGTTTTAGTCCTACACTGAATGAGATCCCTAAATAAGGCACTTCAAACCAGGTTGAATCAATGTTAGTTCTTTAAGCAGATAAATCTCAAAGATAAGGTGATAGAACTAAACAGGATAGGAATGCAAAAAGAATCCACCTGAGGAGATGCTATAACTGGAACAGATTCTTTACCAGAGAGAAGCAAAGTTCTGGTCAGCGTTCAGAGATCTGATAAACAAACCACACATTGCCACCAGTAGAACTGACTTCTGTCAGGAGGGTTTAGATCATCCCAGGACCTCAGTTGTAATCCAGATTAAAGAGACAGAAAATCTTCATTTTGCACATTTCGAAATAAATATCCTTACAAATGAAAGCAGTGAGACTCACTGCTCCAGTTTTCTCTGTCTGTGTCCATGCATCTCCTTCTTCAGCTGATTCTGAACAATCACTCTTCTTGCGGACAGTTTTATCTGTATCACAACAAAAAAGTCAGTGCTCTCTTCTACCAAGGTCTACAGAGTGGATCAACATACCATCAGGTTCTTTAAAGGCAGAGATAATTTCAAAATTATTATGTGCACCGGTAAAGAAGACTTGTGCTCTATGTCTGGCTCTGATATACTCATGAGCAGATGTGGATCATGTGAGCATTTAGCTTTAAGTGACAGTTACAGACAGATGGGATCTACTTTTCAGAAGAGCTGACAGTCCAACACCCACCTGTTACAGGAATAAAGACTTGAGAGTACTTTAATTTTTTATCTTCAACAAAACCAACAGGGCACCCAAAAGATATTACAAATTGAGAGGTTAATTTAAACCTTAAAAGTCTTAGTAGCTCTGCTTAAAGACACCAGAAACAACATTCACTTCATTTAAAAAAATCCTTTTGTGAGTATACAAGAATACAGTGATTTCTTATCACCATGTTTCAGCACATACATTAAAAAATAATAAAACCAGAAATCAGGTATAAATGGAAATGTACCATTAATAGCTGAGAGATCAAGGTCCGGTCTTTTAATTTTTTCTTCATCTAATAAGGTGGACTGCAAGTCACCATTCTCAAAGATACTCTGACTTAAGCTATGGCCAACACCTGTGAAAAGAAGCTGTTATCAAACTAAAAGAATGTGAACAGGTTCTGCACAAATTCACAACTACATGTTGTAGAGGCACAGAGAAGTTGATTTTAGTCACAATCCCCCTCATCTCAGGCCACACCATGATCTGAGAAATGCTGCTTAAGGCTCAGCCTTGACAAACTGGACTAAGCTCCTCTTGAGCTGATCAGAAACACTGGTCTCAGGAACCAGCGCTCTCTAATGAACACCTGCTTTTTAAAAGCCTTGGAAACTTATTTTTCTTGAACCTTCAAAGAAAGTTACCAATGGAATTGCAGCCAGGATGAAAAACTGCTATGACTAAAGTCCAAAGTAAGACCCTCCAAGCTCTCAATTCCCAGAAGATAATACACTAATGTGTATGTCCCAAACACCTTGGAGCCAACCAAGGACTGTGGGTAACGACAGACAAGAATGGTTGGGAATAACCAAGGAATTAACACGTGGTGAGAAAGACTGGCTGGAGAATGTTGAACAGGAGCAACCTTTCTCAATTCAGATGTCCCGATTTCCTCATGATTTTCAAGTCAAGGCCTTACCAGAGAATTATTTTGCAATTCTTACAAAAGAAATAAAAATGGACTGTTTTGCAGACAGGGATTTTTCAGGCATTTACACTGGGTTTAATAAAAAGATTAAATAAAAAAAAAAGGCAGAGTACAGGTGAGGGCACAGGAGAAGAACAGTTCAAAATCTTCTGCATAAGGCAGGAAAGATGCTTTTAGGCAGCCCAAGCATTCAATTCTAGATCCAGCACTTGAGTTCACATCTCTTAATCCCACATCAAGCTTCTCAGTTCCCATTTTTATACAAATAATGACTGGCAGAGATGCAAGTAATAAAAAATATCGCCATCTTAGAGCTGTTAAGAGTTTCAGAGGTTGGAAAAAAGAAAGAATAGCTTTGAAATACCGGTAAAACCTACCAACAGAAGTTTCATGTTTCTGAGAAAGAACTGATTTTGGTTTAGCTGCAGAAGATGGTGGGGCAGCACACAATGAAGAGGAACTTGCTGAAGCACCCTGCAAATGAACACACAGGTAAGACAGAACATAATCAGCAATGTACCTTATCTTCAACTCGAATGCTGACAACAAACAGCCTCAATCCCAGGGCACCTTGCAAGTCACTCGAGTGTAGCCCCAAGCTCCCACCTGGTAACACACAGAGCTCCCTCACAACCCCAGCAGAGCCGGGTTTTTTGCCCAGGTCTCGCTGCCCTATGTCCGAGCCGCCCCTCACACCATTTCTACCCTTTGCTGAGCGGTAGTCCAGGTACCTTCTCGGTGTTCTTCTTATCGTACTGCAGGTAACGAGACTGCACCGTTCTTCCTCCTGGAAAAGGGGCAAAGATAGCTCAGCTGGGCCCGACAGGTCGGATGCTCCTCACCCCTTAGCCGGCTCGGATCTCCCCCCTCAGCCGTACAGGGCTCTCCCCTCAGCCGGCTCGGATCCCTCGCCCTCAAGGGGGTTGGATCAACGCCCTCGAATGGCTCGAATCCCCCTCCTCAGCCAGCTTGGATCAACCCCCTCAGTCGGGCTGAGGTTCCCCCCTCACCCGTACCGGGCTCCCGCCCTCAGCCAGCTCGGATCCCCCCTCACCTCCCACGCCTACCTTTCCGCTTAGCTACAGGCGCTTGTCCGCCCGCCGCCGCGGTGCCGGGGTCTCTCCTGTGTGCAGACATCCTGCCAAGGTAGTAGCGGGAGAGCGAGGGGGCCGGGCAGAGATCCCTCCCCCTCAGCCCTGAGCCGCCTCAGCCGCCATCGCGTTTGAACCAACGCGCCCGCGCAGCACCGCCCTGGGCGGCGGCGGCAGAGCGCCCCCTGGCGGCGCGGAGGGCTGAAACGAGCCACCGCAGCCTGACGGGTCGCACCCGGCGGCTGCTGCCCTCCGGGTTAAACGAGGGTCTGGCAGTTCCTGGCTGGGCCCGAAAGCCTTTTTTCCCTCAGGCCTTTGGTGGCCGCTCTCTGCAACGTCAGCTGGTGGAACCCAGTTCTGGGCTCCTCAGGACAAGAAAGACAAGGAGCTGCTGGAGAGGGTCCAGCGGAGGCCACGAAGGTGATGAGGGATCTGGAGCATCTCTCTGATGAGGAGAGACTGCAGGAGCTGGCCTGGTTAGTTTAGAGAGCAGAAGACTCAGAGGGGATCTCATTAATTCATATAAATATCTCCTCGGTGGATGGCAAGATGATGGTGCCAGACTTTGTTCAGTGGTGCCCAGTGACTGGATGAGGAGCAACGGCCATAAAATAAACCACAAGAAGTTCCACCTCAACATGAGGAAGAACTTCTTTCCATAGAGGTGGCAGAGCGCTGGAACAGCTGCCCAGGGAAGGCGTGGAGTCTCCCTCTCTGGAGATATTCCAAACCCACCTGGACGCGCTCCTGTGTCACCTGCTCCAGGTGACCCTGCCTGGGCACGGGGGGTTGGACCGGGCGATCTGCAGAGGTCCCTTCCAACCCTAAACACTCTGTGATTCAGTGAACCCAAGCACACTATGCTCGGGAGCTTCTGCGCTGCCCCAGCGCTGTCACACATCGAGCAGCAGCCACTCCCCCAGTGGGAGCTCTCACAGCGCCGGGCGGCGACGCTCCCAGCACAGGTTCTTGAGTTTTGACAGGAATCCGCCCACTGCCGCTGACAGACAGATGGCGAGACAGACACACAGACAGCACCTGGCTCCCGCTGCCCAGCTGTGCCAGGAGCCTCGGGCGGTGGAATAACCCTGGTCGGGTGTCGAACCCGCGGCCCCATAAACACATTCCACCCCCACCCCCCCGGCCCTTAAGCGAGGCGGCGCGTGCGCGATTCGCGCACGGCTCTGAATGGGCGCGCCCCCCCACCCGGAAGTGGCGCGCGCGGGGCCTGGGGCTGCGGCGGGGCTGGGGCGTCCGCGCTTCGACACCGGCGCAGGTAACGGGCTCAGCGAGCCTCCTCCTCCCGTCCTCCCGGTCTCCTCTGCCTCCTCCTTCTTCACTACGGGCGACTCAGCGCTGCGGTGGCGGCAGCAGGGATCGCTGTGGAGCGGCCGGGGGGTGTGCGGGGGTCGGTGCCTTGGGGCAGTTCCGAGGGGGTGCCTGGGACTGGGTTCTGAGAGGATTCCGGGGGTGGGTTCTGGTGGTGTGTCTGGGGTTGTAAGGGGCTGTGCGAGGGTCGGTGCCGTGAGGCAGTTCCGAGAAGGTACCTGCGGGTCGGTGCCAGGCGAGTGGAGCTGTGGGTTGGTTCTGAGGGGCTGTGCGGGGGTGGGTTCCGACGGGGTGTCCGAGGGTCCGTTCTGAGAAGCTATGCGGGGATCGGTGCCTTGGGGCAGTTCCGAGGGGGTGTCTGGGGGTCTGTTCTCGTGGGATATCTGGGGGTCGGTGCCAAACCGGGGAGAGCCGCAGGTCTCCTGCGCAGCCTTCCGGAGCTCGGGGCCGGAGCGATTCCCCGGGACGCCCCCGGAGCGGATCCCGTCGGGGCTGGTGCCGTGCCCGGGTGCGGGGCTGCACCGTGCGGGGGCACATGCGGTGCTGCTGGACCCGCTCTGCATCTGCCGTGCCCGAGGAGCTGGAGGTGCTCCGGGGAAGGGATGTTCCTGATGCCAGACTGTGCCTCCCGTCTCCGGGGCAGACCCGGCCGCTGAGCCGGGCACGGTGTTAACTTCCACCTCCTGTTCCTCCCATCTTTCAACCACACAACCTTCTGCTTTTCCGCCTCTGACTCTCAGTATGAACAGCCTGTAATATCTCAGCATCTTTCAAATGTTTCGTTAAAACTCTCAGAGCTCTTTTGTTTTGTTTGTGTTGGTTTTGGGCAGCTGTTTTGACAGCGCTGCTGCCGTGCTGGAGTTGTGCTTTATCGTGGTGACCATCGTTGCCCAATTGATTCATGCCTCTAGCTGTGTGTATGTCGGTAGTGCTCGGGCTTTTGGTAAGCTTGGTTTTGCAATCTCTGGAAAGTAAAGCTTTCGCAAGCTGAGAACATCCTTTGTTACATGTTTCTAGATTAAAAGTAGCACACTACTACCCTGACTCATAACTCTCCTGACCATACAGTTGACATAGGTGTGTGCGATCCTAATGTAAGATGACTTCCCAGTGTCATTTTTAACCTTGTTTTCTACTACTCCTTAAATATTTTGGCAAAATTTTTACCCAACTTTATTTGCAAGTCTCGTTTGTGAAAAGTGAGAGGCCCTTTGGATGCAAATGAGCTCAGTATTCTTTGATTTCACTTCGTGGAAATGGGTGGCAGTGGAGCAAAAGGGCTGGAGATGATCTCAGGCTTCCGGCAGACGCAGTTAGCCTTTCAGAGATGTCATCAGCATCCTCCCACATTACTCCTAGAGGTGGATTGGTATCGGAGTGTCTGCCAAGCTGTTTGCAAATAGGAGTTTGTCATGGGTAATTAGGAACTTTGATTTCAGGCCTGGTAGCTGGAATCCATGGCTGAAGAACTTGACCTAAAGTAACAGTGTGAGGTAACTCTGCATTCTGGTTTGGGATGCTGGTGTCACATCCATCAGGTTTTAGTAGACCCTCAGTGTCTCACTCAGAATCTTGTCAGGAGCAAATCCATTTAATGTAGGGGAAGCAGTTTGGGGAACTTTTAACGCATATTCATATTATCGTCAAGATGAATTTTGGCTTTTTTTAGAAAAGAATTCATCTTGATTATTTTGTCTTTGAACTATGATGAGGTTCTCTGCCTCTACATTTAAAGTCTGATATCTTGGTTTTCAGGATGATGCATCTAAGGCCACTTCCTCTGTCTTTAGTCTTATTAGCGTAAGACTCAGGATTTACTGCAGTAATGTAAAGGAACTGTGTTTGTAGAACTATACAGCTTTAGTTGGTTGGGGTTTGGTTTTTTTTTTTAACCCTACTTGAACGTTTGTCTCAACAAAAAGCTTTTCCAGAAGTTGGATGTTGCGGCTTCTGCAGTGACAGAGCAGCTGTTTGCACAAACACGGAGGGAAGAGTCCCAGGTCTGGGTTTTCGGTGGAAAACACTTACAGGACTGAATAATTGAGAAAGAGTAAATGCAGCTGATGAAAAATTTAAATGAGCTTCATCTAGAGAAGGTGCTTTGTACAGGCAGAGTTTTCTGACCGCTAGTGATTCAAACATTAGACTTCTTGAATAATTCCATGTCTGAATAACTGTTTGACTCACATGCACATAGTTCAGTATGGCCTTCGCCAGCTAGAAGGTCAAAAGGCAGCGTTTGCATATCCTAGGCATTAAAAAAGGAAAAATTCCTAAGAAATGCAACAGTATTGGCCGTCCCAACAGCCAAGGGAAGGAGTGAAAAATTCTGATTCAACGAAAAGGTTGTGGTTCAGAACTTTTTTTTTTTTGCAAGTTTGAAGGCTGAAGGAGTTTATCACATTTCTAAGAAACAAGGCCTGTTTATGCAAATACCAAGGAGAAATAAAGCCTGAGGTGCTGATAAGAATTTATATTTTTAATAGAAAGGACTAGAAATGTCTTTATTTCAGAAAATGAAAATTCAAAGGTTTTGTCTCTAGTATATTGTGTTTTCTTGGTGTATCAAGTGACTTAAGCGTGGCTTGTGGAGCTCCTTTTATTGAGGCTTTATTGTATTGTGTGTCTCTGATTACCAAATGAAACTCAATGCAGACTCTAAAAAATCTGCTCTTCCTTTAAAGACCAAGGATATTTTACAATAAAAGTGTTTTTAAAGGTATTTTTGACATGTATATGTTCTGTTCACATGAAAGTTCAACCCAAAGTTTCTTTAAAAAGTTTCTCATCGGTGTAAATGCAGCATTAGAACAGTGAAATTTTGACTTCCTTTGTTGACAGCTGTAATGCTGTTAAGGATAAAATTAAGAAAGCTACAAAAGGTGGTAGAATAGTCTCCAAGATTCTTTTGGTTTATGTTCTTTACCTCTAAGTAAAGTTGTTTTGCCTTCATTCCTGTTTCCTCAACAGGCCCATGTTTTCATTCCCTCTGAATCATACTTACGTGTACATCTGTAACTCTGACATTGCACTTTTTATAAGGTAGTAACATGTCATAAATAGACCTTTAATGTCACTGTAAAGCCTGATAAGGCATCCTTGTCTTCAGGTGAGGTTGTGCATTGAGTCACTCGGAGGAAGGTCTCTGTACCTGGGGGGGTTTGAGGGTGTGAGTTGGGATCTCTCTGCAGGGAGCAGGTAACTGAGGAGGAACTGCCTGTACCAAAGGTGATTTCTTTGCCTTTTTCCTGTGTTATACATTGCAGCCCAGCTTCTCCTTTGCCAGGCACTCTGGGGCAGTAAGTTCCCTGCCAGGATTGATTACAAAGAGTAGTTACAAATGTGTTGTAATTTTGCATGTTCCATTCAGAACTCCTCCCTTTGGAGTAGAAAAAGCCAAGGGCTTTTAGTTAAAAAAAACCCAAGGGTGTAAAATTTAGTCCACTGGAATTTTTTGTAACCAAGGAAAGCCTTGAAGTGTTTTTACTAAGCAATATTCAGGTAATCTACAAATGCCTGGAATATTGGGAGAAATTAAAATTAATTCTTCTTAACTAACAGCACCTTCTGCCCCTATGACATGAGGTAGGACAAGAGTCTTTGCTTTACCTGCACTGCATAGTTATTTGTGGAAATTTTAAGGTGTCTCTGCGGCCTGTTTTGCTGGAAATTCCTTGCTTTGGAAATCAAGGATGGGTAATAAATGGATATTTTTGAAATTCCTAAATGTTTTCAATTTGATCAGACAGAGCAGCCTCTTTTGGGGATGGTCATTGGCAATTCTGGTGTTTAAGAATATCAGAGGTCAAGTACCTGTGATCCATTTCTCCTTCTGCGTTGAAAATTACGTGGTGAACAGTGGGAGAAGCTTGAACCTTTCCATTTGAGGAATGCAGCACTGAAAATGGGAAGAACTGGAATATTATAAAGTTCATCCTCAACAATTTTGCTGTAATGGTAGCTTTCCCTTTTTAGCTTCGCTGTGATTCACTGACTAAATATGTGTCTTCAAAATATGGCCTTATTTAAACTAAACAGATCCCCTGCGCTGATAGGGGTGAAATTCTCTGCTAGAGTTCTGCCATGTTATGAAGTGAACAGTGTTGGTTTATTAAAAAATTAATTGGAGTCTTGAAAACCCTTATAAAATACCATCAAAATTATCATATAGAATTGGAATTTTTGTTTTTTCTATTAAAATTGTCTGAGCAAAAAGTAAAGCTACAGATTTTTATCCTCCATGCATTGGAAAGGGGTTTCTTGTAAGAAAGAGTATTGAAAGAAGTTGAGGTAACTGCAGAATTTCCATCTACAGACAGAACCAAGCAGAGGTGGTTGGGCTGCAGGGTTTGCATGGTTTCAGTATTACCTTCTCTCTTGTATTTCTGCTTTTCTCCCAGTATTCTCTGCCTGTGCTTGTGCTTCCTTGATGAGCCAATCACATTGAATAATTATTTCAATTGCTTAAAATTTCTCCCCATAAAATTAGAAGGAATCTTTGCAATCGTATCTTCAGACCATTCTGGACATAAATGAGAGGATGGTACCTAATTAACTTTTCTAATTGTGAGGCCCATTTGTAACTGAGGACTGACTGATTTTTCCAAAATGAGCTTTGGCAACTAGACCTTGTGCTCAGTTAAGTTTTTGCAGTGCAGTTTAACCTTCTGATGACATTTATGTCTTATGTTTGCCTGAGTTTGTTTGGCTTCAAATTCCAGCCATGTTGTGGCTTTGTCCTCCAGACTGATGCTTGTACCAAACTCCAGGTCCCATGCAGCGACTGACTCTGATAACAGACTCCTCTGTGCGTTCCTTACAGACAAGGCTTGGAGAGTATTTGGCTCTAAGGGGGGCATTTTCTAACAGGTTTTTCTGTTGTTGTTTCTGCTCTTATCTCAGCTTTTAATTGAATTTTGGATTTATCCTAGATGCTGTATTGGTCACATATCTTCTGAGTAAAAGGGTAGGATGGCTGCCTAACAAAATATTAATTTATGGTTATCTGGGAATCATATTCCTTGTCATGCTTGTGGTGTTACATTAGAACACTGTTTGAATGATTGCTTGCTATGGTTTTCAGGCCTATTTCAGGATAACTTCTATCCCTCTCATATGGATTTTTTCTTGGATAAATTTGTTGTTATATATCTGTAAACTGAGTTGAAATTTGTTTAGCATTTATTTGCTTGCTCCTGTACGACTGACCTACATAATTGATTTAACTTCTTGATTACTTGCTGCCTTCTCAATATCTCTTTATCAGTAACTCTTTTCTTTCTTTTAGAACCATCATGAAAATGTTTACTTTGATGCCAGGAATGTAACTTCACTAGGAACTAATCCTCCAGTTACTTGAAGATACCTTGTCCTTAGCTGAATACTGGAACTCATTAGGTAATCAACTTAAAATCTATTCACTGAATGCTCTTCTGCTTTTATACTCTAGTTTGTGGCTTGAAATATTGTTTAGTGTGAAGCCCGAGGTCTGTCTCTTTTAGAGCAGTATTGTCATCAAATAAATTTGATATTCTCACTAAGGAAATCACAAGTAGCTGCAGACCAGCAGGTTTTCCTCAAACCTCTGTAATGATTAGACATTCTCAGACAGAAGAATTGAATTTTCCAGTTGTACACACCTGCGCAGACCCTCCCAGCTGTCACACTGCTGCTGGCTGTAAGGGCCCTGAGTTTGTCACTTGCAGAGCAGTGGCATCTGCATTCTGGTTTCCTCTTTCCAAAGTATGAGCTGGGATCTTGAGCAATGTACCACATTCTGGTGGGTGACATGAGGCAAGATTAGGAAATGTGTGTTAGTAAAGTCACGGGTCAGCACCAAGGTCCAGCTCTTCTGTGGTGGCAAGAAGCTGCTGCCACATTTTTTAGGGAGCTGTTTTGGCCATAATGGTTCCTGAGGACACTTCTTCTATCTTACCAGACTGTATGTCTGAAATTAATTGCTGGGGGGTGGAAAAAGGAAGTCTGCAAAAGGCTGTTCCCCTTGAACTGAGTGACTCGAGAGGAAAATATTCGCTGTTGTTCTACTTTTCTATCTGAGCCCCAGATTGATCTTCCCCATGAGCAGCAGTTTGCTGTAGATTCTACTGTATGTCAAGGTCTGAGCTTTTATAGATTAAGAAAGCTTAACACTTGCACTTCACAGATACTTCAGACTTATTTGCTGGTCAGTGATAATGACAGGAAATGATGAAGGGACTTGGAGCTCACTGCTCCAGCCTTCTGTATGACCAGCACTTGCAATCAGCCCTCCTTAATGAAAAAAGAATGAAATTTAATGTGGAAAAAACATTCTTGGGTGGATCACACCATTTGGTCAGAGATGTATTGTGGTTTGTCTTGCCTTCTGTGGCTTGCTCAGCCTTCCTTTTGATGAGTAGCCACTAAAAATGATCCAGCTTATCTAATAGTGTCTTCTGTGAGCTCTGTGTTCCCTTAAACACAACTCCCTTCTCAGAGGCTGTTCATGAGGCACAGCTATGTCATATGTTCTGTGAAGTGATTCATTACTTGCAGTGGAAGTGGCAGCTTAAATACCTCCAGCTCTGCTGATTTTAATTTGAAATGATTACTCTCTGTGGCCTTGTATAAGTTCCCGTGCAGTTGTTTAGTGGCAAAAAGTAACTTCTTTGGCATTTCTCTGCCTCTTTCCTCTTTCTTTTTTTTTTGTCTTTAATGTATTTGGCATGTAAGTGTATAATTATAACACTTTGTTCTTGAAACAAAAATTGAACTGCTATTCTGGATATGAAGATTTACAGACTTAAAACAAAGGGGTACTTTATTATCCCCCTCCTTTTAGTACCCCTTGATGAGCAAATAAAGTGTTGAGCTAAAGCAATACGAGTAAACTTAGTCCTGGTGATCTGGAGGCACCGAATTTCAGGTGAGAGAAAAATCATCGGAAAAGGCAGAGGCGGTAACTGAGTCTGGAGACTTCTAACTTAACAGTGAGGAAGAAGTTGATTCTAAGGCTGTTGTTCAGTTAGTTGATAGGAGTTAGATGTCTGGCCTGCACTGAGGCTGAAAGGAGCAAAAAGCAATCACACCAAATGATTTTTAGAGACTCATGGATGAGGTTCCTAAACCCACTGAAGGTGGAGTTGATGTGATGGGGTATAAAGGCCTGTGAATGAAGTGGGTTATTTCAGATCTTGTTTACTGCTGAAAAGTGGTTGGAATAAGACTAGTTTTACTTTGTTGCCTAAAATGGAAGATAAAAGGCAGGTTCAGACCTTTCTTTAGCAAGGATGTGGTTCACAAATGAGTCTGTGTAAGTGATGTGTGTCCAAGAAATCTCTACGATGTGTCGGAGGGAGCTGAGCTCTGCTCAGCTCTGGGCTCTGATTCTTTCAAGATGAGTGGGATGTCTTGTACCTCTCATGAAAAGAGGTTATCTGGGGGAAAAGAGGAAAAAAAAAAAAAGGGTGGATCTCTGTCAGAACCATCTTCCTCCTTGCACCCATGCACTGATCCCTCTGCCATAGGTCATGGCTGCTCTGAACTGTCACTGCTGAATTAGGAAGTGACCACAAACCCTCTTGCTACATCACGTTGCTTGTGCAGCTTTAAGGGAGAGTTTATGTGGGAGACCGGATGAATGTTCGTGTAGCCATACGGTGAACCAGGACAGGGAAAGTGTCTGGGTTAAAACTAACCTGGGCAAACAAGGAAGTTTTAATTTGGATGTATATCCTGGTTGATTTTGGTTTGGCTGTATGAATGCTTTTGCTGCCAGAACAGGGAAGAAGGGGTGGCATGGAATAAAGGAAAAGTAAAGGAGGATAAGTATTGTGACAGTTATCCATTCCATGGGATATGTCAAACAGGCTGCTTGGAATAATATCACTGATGTGCACAGATAGTGCATTTGTTTTTTAATAATTTAATTATGTAATAATTGTATTCTCATCCTCCAGAAAATACCTAATACCTCTTGTACACACTTTTTAACACCTGATTTTTTCATTTTTTCTTTTTTCAGACAATGGGCACTCCATACTAAGCAGGGGTAGAAGACTGAAGCCCATTTGGGGACAGAATGAGTTTAAAAGATGCTGATAGTGCAGTTTGCCAGGCAAAGGCAGCCTATAACCTTCAGATTTACCCCCAACTCTCAACAGAAAGTGCTCCCTGCTGCAAAGTGACTGCAACCAAGGACAGCACATCATCAGATGTCATCAAGGACGTGATCAGCATCTTAAACTTGGATGTCTCCAAACATTATGTGCTTGTGGAGGTGAAAGAATCTGGAGGAGAGGAATGGGTACTTGATATAAATGATTCTCCTGTTCACAGGGTTTTGCTTTGGCCTCGTCGTGCTCAGGACGAGCATCCACAGAAGGATGGCTACTACTTTCTCTTGCAAGAGAGGAACACTGATGGGACCATCAAGTATGTGCAGATGCAGTTGCTCTCCAAGGAGACGGATGCTCGGAGGTTGGTGGAACGGGGCTTTCTTCCGTGGCACCAGGAGGACTTTGATGACTTGTGCAATCTCCCCAACCTGACAGAGACAACACTCCTGGAGAATCTCAAATGCCGCTTCTTAAAGCACCGAATTTACACTTATGCAGGAAGTATCCTGATTGCAATTAACCCCTTCAAGTTCCTGCCCATCTACAATCCCAAATATGTCAAGATGTACGAGAATCATCAGCTGGGGAAGTTGGAGCCTCATATTTTTGCCATTGCCGATGTGGCCTATCACACAATGCTTAAAAAACATGTGAATCAGTGCATTGTTATATCAGGTGAAAGTGGATCTGGGAAAACCCAAAGCACAAACTTTTTAATTCACTGTCTCACGGCTCTGAGCCAGAAAGGGTACGCCAGTGGTGTGGAGAGAACCATCCTGGGAGCTGGACCAGTCTTGGAGGTAAAGCTGTGCTCAAACTGCCTTCTGTGAAAATTGGGGTTTGAAAACTTCAAATAACTGCTGCTGAATGTTGCTTTTGAGTCACCCACCTGGTTTAGGCTTAAAATGTCACTGGTTTTAGGCTTGTCACTTGGTTTAGGCTTAAATGTCACTGGGCTGCCGTGGTGTTTGGCAATGTTACCCAACTGCTTCTGATTTTTCCTTAAGTTGTCCTTTTGTTCAGTTGACTTCCTGTTGCTTGTAATTTATATTTGACTTATTCCCACCACTAAACACTCATATCCAGGGACACAGGTTACCTGTGCTTTCCATCTGAAAGCTTTGATAGCATTTGAATAGAATTGTCAGCAAATGTTTTTATAAAGATTGTTCCACTGAAACACCAAGTGCTTAGTGTGATCCTGCCTTTGTGTGTGAGCATGTCCTGCAGCATTTTTCTGAACTCACTTTTTGAGGGATTTATTTCCTTTCTACAACTGTTTGGAAGAGAGCATCATTGTCAGTTGAGGAGAAAGTGGGAAAGTGTTTAGGCTTTTAATTATTACAGCATTTCCAAAAGAAAGCAAAACTAAACACGTGAGAAGAGAGAGCACAGCTGATGTTGCATTAGGTAACAGCAGGACAAACTTTAACTGATCTCTTAGGCTTCAGCCTCTCCCTTTTATTCTCTAAAAGGAAAAACTCTGGAAGTGTGGATGGATGTAAAGGTCAACCCTAATAAAATCTTCAACAGCAAAGAGTTTGAATGCAGCCATTGTAATTTTTAGCTTTAAATAGTTTCAAATGTAACAGCACTCTCATAAAAAGAAGTTTAAGCTTTTTTAGAGCTTTTCTGTAAAGAATAAGGAATATGTGCAAGTTCTTTTTTGCCTTGCTTTCTGCTGCTTGAAAGAAGAAGTAAAATTGAGGCTTGTTGGTTGCTGGAGTTCACGTTTACAGTTTTAACCAGAAAACAGGAAGGGGTCACTGTGGAAAGCCCTGTTTGATCAGCTGATCTTGCTGCCTTTGATAAATTTAACTGTTTCATATCCTCTTCTGCAGACATGATACAGCTGTGTCAAACTAGGCAGAGATGTAAAACCCTGTGTGCCTGTTTGTCTGCTCAGGGTTCAAAACTCAAATTCCTAACTTTGGTGGAGCCACAGGTCAGGGTTGTGTTTATCTGGGAATGTTCATGAGGAGATACTTGTGATTTCGTACTCTAAGATTGTTGTCTTAAGTACCACAACTACTTCAGACTTCCACTGAGCATTTAGGAATGATTTGCGTGAGAAAATAGTCTTGTTAGCTGGAAATCTGATGACTGATTGAAAGCTTAGCTTGCAGACTTGCCAGATAGACTCTAACATGTTGTCTAAAATGAAATTCTCAGAAATTTCTTTATCTGCTTCTCTGAGGGTGTTTGTCAGTCAGAATTGATTCAGTGTAAGCCTGTCCTCCCAAATATTCCAAAAGATAAGAGATTTTCACAACTAAATGTAAAAAATAGAAACATCTGAATCCTAAAATATCTTTCAGAATTGAATATATATTCATGTAAATCCAGAGTGCATTAGAAAAGTGTCATTATGGCGGGTTTAGAACATAAGAAGTGAAATCCAGTCACCCTGATTGGATTCAGCAGAGTGGATTCAGCTGACAGTCAAGTTCCATGTTTCCCAGTCCAGTCACTAAGCTTAATTTAAAAAAAAAAAAGTCAAACCTTAGTCCTGGGGAGGGATGCACAGAAAGCTTATATTGCTTTGTGGAAGTTACTGCAGACTCCTGCCAGAGTTGGTCACGTCTAAATCCATCCGTGGTGACTCACTTTGGGGTTTTACTGAAGGGAACTAAAGTGCTACAAGGGAATTTTTCTTACATGAATGTTTCGGGGGATTTTTTGCATTGTGCCAAAACTATTTGAGAATGTTCTGTTTGATTTTGAAGTTTTATTCTGAGTCCTCATCAGAGTTGAACATGTACTCTTGACTAAAAACGTTCATGATGTAGAAGTGGGTTGCGTTTTGGGTCGGAACTTCCTCTTTTAGTGGTGTAAAAATGTGTCTGTTTCTAAGCTGACCTTCTGTAAAAGTTCAAGGGGTTAAAGCACAGAGGGGTGAGCACGATTAGGGTGGTGTGGAGGTGGATTCATAATTTTATTATTGCATGCTTAGGGAACTTGGAAACATTTTTTACTGTTTCTGTGTTGGCTCATTAATCTGTATTCAAATCTCTAAGTGATTTACAGATGAACTGTTGTTAATATTTTAGCTCCTTGCTCACAATTTCTAGGCTTTGAAGGATGGAGTTATAGCTGTACCAGGAAAGGAGATTTGACATTAAATGATGCTTGATATTACCTTGTCGAACATCTGGGAAACAAAAGACATGATACTGAGCCAGTGCAGTTAAAAAATTAAATCTGGTATCAGCACAAGTGCTGTCACATGGGCTGGGGAGAGGAAGGTGGTCATGGGTCAGCTCTGAGCCTCAGATGCTTCCTGCTCAATCTCAGCTGTTTCCAAGGTTCCTGGTTGAGGATCTAATAAGCAGAGCTCAATTCCAATAATTCTGATGACACTTGGCACTGTTTGTAGCTTTCTAGAGAAGAGGAATCAAAGGCTGGGTCCTTCCATGGTTCAGTGATGCTTCAGCACAGCCCCAAGCTGTGGTTTGTGCTGATTTTTAACAGTTCAGGAGACATTCAGTTGCTTTAACTCTCAGATTATGCTGTGGTTTTTGTTGGTTTTTTGGGTTTTTTTAATTATATCTCCAGGATAAGGGAGATCATCTCTAGTGAAGAGCAATTTCTTTAAAACCAGTGGGAAGATAAATATAAACTCCTTTTTAAGATACTCCTAAGTTTTTCATCCTCTTCTAAATCTAGTAATTAAAATATAGTTCCCTGACTTGGAGTTTTGCCTTCTTGTATTGACTGTTCAATTTACTTAGGATTGGAATCCTAAAAAGGAATTTACATTTGGGAACTATTATTTGGGTCAAATTGGGACTAGTGAATCAAAGCTTTGTTTATTTTATCAACTCTCAAACAAGAGAATCGAACCTTTCCATATACACTGAAGAAGTTTCCAATAAACTTATATTTTCCTTTCATCAGGGAAAAATGTCTTAACTGCATGTTTTGGCTATAAAATGCACAGTGTGCAATGTAAGACTGAATTTATTTTGGAAACCTAAATTTAACTTATTCTTCAAGCCAATTAATTTAATAAAGTGGCAGAGAATTGAGCAAGGGGATGGGAGCATGTGGTGAGGGAATACAGGGAATTGGAGCCTTTTCTTCTGGCAGCAGAGCTCTTCTTGACTTGTCTGTCCTTAATTGTAGCCCTCAGTATCTTGGGTTTATTACAGAATTCCAGTTACTTTTTGAGTGTGCTGAAAGTTCATTTCCCTCTGAAATGGGAGTTGAGGAGAGGTGGGACAGATACTGGGGGAATCCTAATTTTTCCTAAATTATGTGGAAAATCATTGCTTGTTCCCATTTGGATGTATTCTTGAAGATTTCCAAATGCCACTGAACCATTCTTTGGGAAGAATTAAGGCCCAAATGAAATGAAAAGTCCAACAGGAAGCATTCATTAAGTGGTCTTCTAAAGGAGAATTTTTATTGACAGCGTAATCAGGTGGGGGGGATCAGATTTTCTAGAACTCACCACATTAAAAAACTTATCAAATTTAACTGTAGAAAGTTTTATGCCTTACAGTTCTGTGGAAATCACAGTGAAGCCATTTGTAGCTCTGTTTTCCTTATGACATTCCCATTGCTAGTGGCTTTGGGATAAGATGGACTGAAGCTTCAACTCTGGTTTTCATTTGTATTTGCCATCAAAGCCTGTACATGCATTTTGTGGGTGTAGCCTGTTCTATTCCAGGGAAAGTGGTTGTTTTAAACATTTATCTGCATCTGTTTGTTTAAGAATCATAATCAGAGGAGGAATGGAACTTCCTTTTTCCATTTGCTTGGATGTTACTTGGTTTTTTTTGGTAAAAATGCATTGTTGCTGCTTTTCCCTGCTGCACACAACTCCTGGGGAAAAAATCACCTGGTCGTTTTCACTCTTACCATGCTTGGAGTTCCCTGGAACATCCCACAGCACATGGAATTGCAAAATGACCCTGAACACTGGGTGAGTGCGTACTTCACAGCATGGTTGTAAAGACCACTGTTAAACCAAGCTCAACTCCAAAGAAGTAATTTCCTCTTCCAGGGTGTGGAATTTGAGACTTCCATGTCATTTGGCATGTTGGAAGATGGGGCTGTGCAGTGGTGGCTCTGTCTGTGATTTACATGGAAACTCCAGTAGCTTTTTCAGATTTTGGCAACTCTTAGGAATTAATACAATGAGATTTTTAGTTGTGTTCTTGTGTTAGGAGGGAGCACGTGTGTGGCTTGGTTTGGGGTGGTTTTTTTGACAACAAATAAAGGGAGAATTTGATGTTTTTCTGAATACTTTTAAATCTGTCACTGCTGTAGGAGTTTTGAGTGTCAGATCCACTTTATGCCTCTTGCATTCCAGGCTAAGAAGATGGGTTGGATGACTTTCTGCCTCCTGGAATAGGTGTCCCAGCTCTGATTCCCACTGCCCTTGCTCTGCTATTTTTGACTCACCCTCTTTTTATGTTGCTGGTGTTGTGCATTGGAATCATTTTGTTTTAATTTTTTTGGGTTTATCTGTCTCCATTGACTCACAAGGGAAAACAGTGTATGAATTTGCTTGTATAAAGGATTTATTTCTCCTTACCTGAGATTCTCTTGTCCCCTCACATCTTCTGAATTTATTTTGTACTCACCAAGGTATATGGAAGGACATGGTAACAGTGATTAGTGATTAGAGTTAAAAGTTAAATGTAACAAAAAAAATATTCTCTACCCAAAATGTTAACTGACTTGGAATGTAAAATGTTGTAGATGTTAAAGGCTCTTCTGAGGAAAGCATTCATGAAAACTTTGCTAAAAACTGTTAATATTAGATCAGCTTTTAAGAATTTGCTGTGTGCTTTGACCAAATACCAGACACATGAGATCATAAGAGCCTTTAGTTTTAAACTGTATTCATTGCTTACATGAGTAATCACTAAGAAAAGTTTGTCAGGAAGCCCAAGTTATGGGGTTTCTTAACTCTATAATGCCAAAAATTAGTTCTTACAAAATAATGTGGCAAATGTAGCTGTACTGTGGTTTGGTTTCTTGGATATAACCAGTGAACTGATGGTTAACTGGTGGCTTAGGTTAGAAAACTTTAGAAAAAGAGGTTTTTTTGAGATCAATTTGCAAGTCCATTATTCTGCAGTCTGGCAAAGCTCACTCCAACAGATTTCCCAAGGCACAGAATGGGAAGTTGGACGGTGTTTGTCAGAGAGCCAGAGCTGAGCCACTGTCCTGGAGAGGAAGAGGGGTTTGATTTACAGAGCTGTGTTCATGTCACAGGACTTTCACTTCTGGTTTGGTCCCTGCTGAGGAGTTGACCTGGATTTTATGCACATATTAATATGCATGTGCATGCAAGATGGGCTTTGAAAAGAGAAATCTGGGTGATACTTTGGATGGAAGCTACAAAAAAATACTGATGGCTGGGCAATGCTTGCTTTGAAAAATCTGAGTGGGGGTGCTGTTGGCATTGTGAGATATGTAGTGTGGTCTTGGAAAATCCAGAGGCTGAGCTCAGCTATCTGGGAGGTGCTGGATACAAATCCTCTCCCTCCAGCCATAGGTAAGCACTTCTGCATACAAATCCTGTCTCTTCAGCCACTGCTGGACACAAATCCTCTTCCTCCAGAAGCCCTTCTGCAGTTACAGCACAGTCCACCTGCACAGGAAGAGCTCCTTTAGCTTAGTCCTTTAGGTCAAAAATAACAGTTGCCTTAAGAATTATGGACATTCTCCCAGTTTATAGGAAGTTTCTCAGGCTCTCTGAACATGAGACAGCTTGTGGCAGAAATCTTGCAAGAGATAGAAAGGTAGAAAGCTGGGAGAATCTGTTTGGGAATTAGTGATCCTGGAGTCCCACTGCAGTATGGCTGCAACCCTTAAGGTGCTTTGGAAAAAAAGCCCCAAAACCAAAAGAGAAGGGAAGGCTTTCAATATACAAATAACATGATATGTATGTAGGGAAATACAACATAATTGGGCAGTTTTGTGTATAAACAGCTCAGTTCTGTGTTGTCTACAGTCCTTATCCCTCCTACTCCGGATGTATGTGTGTGGAGGAAGAGGGTGGCATTTCTGTGCAGTCATTCCCTGAATGTTCTATATTAGGGAGGAGAATTTCCTAATGGAGGCTTTAATTACTTGGAGCTTTAAGAGGAAATATCTGCGGCAGGAATTGCTGGGGATAGTCTACCCTGAGCAGGGTATTTTTGCAAACAATTACATCTTACACAGGGTTTCTGCTCTAGGTGCTGCATTGCCTGCTCATGGTACAGGGTGACAAGTTCCCCTTAAGCTTGGAACACACAGTTAAGAGTTGATAAAGTTAAGGATATTCCCAATAACTAATTCTACTGGATTTTTAGATGTAATAACTTACTTTTAAGCATGGCTCATGCTGAGGATATTTTGTGATATCAGAGGACTTGTGATCCGACAGAAATATTAGAGATGCACAATTAGGGTTTGTGCCATACGTATTTTTCCCCCCTTTCCTAGAACCTCAAAATGAGACTCCCTTGTATGGGAGAGGCAGTTTCATGGTAGTCGTGCTGCCTCCTTCCAGCTGAATATCCTCTCTAAGGTCCTAATTGTTAGGGATTGAGGCTGATTTGTACTCTCTAGCTGTGATTACCTGTCTTGTGCTCTTGAAAATATCTGAATGTGTTATTCCCTTCCCTCAGTCCCTCAAAATGTTATTGCATGGGGCAAATAATAAACATATATAGATCTGTGAGGAACATGGGGGCTTCCTGAGCTGCCTTTTTGGTATCTATGTGCTGCCATTTCCATAGTATTCCAAGTTTATACTGGAAGCTAATGGGGGTCTGGACAATGCACAGAAGAGCTTGGAAAGCTGGCAGTTGACACATTAAGTTTAATTCAAAATTAACTCATTTTGCTTTATTACAGGCATTTGGAAATGCAAAAACAGCACATAACAACAACTCCAGTCGTTTTGGGAAGTTCATTCAAGTCAACTATTTAGAGAATGGTATTGTCAGGGGGTAAGTACAGCACGGGGTGGTTGTGGGGTGATCTCTGCAGGAACTGGGGAAGCCTTGCTGGATATCAAATGTTTGAGAGTCTCTAACTGAGCTTTATGGAATTGTCAGGTCATGCATAATATCCTTACTTTGTTGTACAACTGGATCAGGTTAAGGATTTGCTGCTGCATCTTTACCTTCCTGCTAAATGAGGGCTTTTTCGTAACACTCCATTTTGCATGGAAAAACAGAAGATCTGAGTTTTTAAGAGGAGTTGGAGAGAGGTGAAATATATTTAAGGAAGCCATTTTAAAGAACAGTTTAAACACCAATTAAGAGAGATTAAAAAAGTGATAAGATTATTACTTTAATTAATTGAAATTGTGTGTCAAATGTGAAATATCCTGTGCCTGTATTTGCTAGTTTTGCTGCACTATGGAGTGTCAGGAGCCATCACTGATCTTTGTGCTCCAATATTTCCTTCCTTTGGATCATTTTCATGTTTGCAATCACATAAGTGACTGGGAACTCTGTAGCACATTTGCTTTGAGTGTTACTCTGAACAAGTTTGGCAGCTTTTCAGATGAAGTCACACTATCTCAGGAGATTGATACAATTTGAATACACTTGTTTTGTCTTTAGCATGAGAAAAAGCTGCTCAAACTTTGTCCTCAGTCATTGTGTCTCAGGTCAAGGACTTTAAATCTCATTCAGGAGGTTACTTTATCACACCGGGAGGGGATTTCTGTCTGGCTTCCATTCTAGGCTGGCATACACACAGTCCCGTTGAACTGAGAGTCACACAGTTACCTGGAATATTTTGGGGGTTTTGTAGCCTTTACATTCCTTGTCAGATAACTGTTAATCTCCCGGGATAACATGTTGTTACCGTTCTGTATATCTTGTTTCTGTTTACAATTTTCATCAGCACTTTCTTTGCTTTGTCTGCCTGTTTCCAGTTATCTCCACTAAAACCAAACACTGCAGATAGATGTTCTTAGATATTTCTCTGTGTTCCAATCATAATATAGGCCTACTGAAATTCCTGTTTTAGGTTTAAGGTAGTGACTAAGTTATTCTCTTGTATATTTTAGTGCAGATCTCATTATTTGAACTTATTTGAACTCTCTTGGCAGTTGTTGCCTGATGTTTTCTGAAGTCTTTTCTTTTTGCCCTCATGTTTTTTTCATTTTCTGGTGGCTCCTTAGGGCTGTTGTTGAAAAATACCTGCTTGAAAAATCTCGTCTGGTTTCTCAAGAGAAAGATGAAAGGTAAGAGATTAAAACAGTTTTCGAAAAGAATTCCAATCAGTGGAAGACTTGAAGAGCATCTGAAGTACATAAAATAAAAATCATATTTTCATGAGAGAAATGTATTGACTTTGTAGGAACTACCATGTCTTCTATTATTTGCTACTTGGAGTCAGTGAGGAAGAACGTAAAGAATTTCACCTCAAGCAACCTGAAGATTATTTCTACCTCAACCAGGTAACCTGTGACAGGGGTTTACCAGTGCATTGGTAAGGTTTGTCTGCCTTTTATGTCAAAGATGAAAGGAAGCAGGACAGATTATGCTTGTTTTCTTGTGATGTTTGGGCTTCGTTCTCTGCCTTTAGTTGTAAGTCTTTCTTCACAGCATAACTTGAAAATTGAAGATGGGGAAGATCTCCAGCATGAATTTGAGAGGTTGAAACAAGCCATGGAGATGGTTGGCTTCCTTTCAGCAACAAAGAAACAGTAAGTAGAATTCTTTAAACTTTTGTTACTAATAGTTGATGTTCATGAGTTGCAATAAGCTCTATGTGCATTGGCATCACAAGCAGTTCAGTAGGAAGCAAGGAGACCTGAGTGTTTCAGGGCTTACAGACAAATTCTTGAAGTAGAATTGGCTCTGTTAACATGTTATAATGATCTCATCAGAAAAATTCTTATGAAATTTAATTTTTCTTCCTTAGGATTTTTTCAATACTTTCAGCTATTCTCTACTTGGGTAATGTCACATACAAGAAGAAAGCCACGGGTCGGGATGAAGGGTTGGACGTGGGACCTCCTGAAGTGTTGGACATTCTTTCCCAGCTGTTAAAAGTAAAGTATTTCTCTTAATCCCTAATGTTTGATGCACCTGTTTGTCATGCTCTGCATCAGCATTTCACTTGGATATCTGTGAGAAAAATCTCTTCTTCCAGTTTATAAAATAGCAAAAACATGTGCAGGACAGGGAAACTTACAAGAAAGAATACTTTATTGCAGCGCTGGGTGCAGTCCCAAGCTACACGCCTGGCAAAAGCACCCCGAATTCAAAAATCCGCGCCCCTTTGTACTCTTAGCCGCCTAAGATGTTGAATATTCAACAGGTAACAGGTATTTTACCTTAAAAGGTAGTTTTTCAAACTGGGGAGGGGTGTCGCCCTCCCACCTGATTGGTTGATGACGTATCCCCCTGTACAGTACAGGGGGGTGTTTTGCATACAAAGACCTACCATGTGGCCAGAGTAAATTTTTCATTTTTATATATATTGTATCCTACCTTGGCCGCAACATTCCCTTGGTGTCAAGCCCTGATAGGGCTCTTCCACCTTACAATCTTCACGGAGCGCCTATATTCCTGTAGTCAAATGAGAGATAGGAAAAGAAAAAAAAAATCCCAACACCCTCGCTTTCTACTTAACTCTACTTATAATAAAACCAGACTGTTTTATTTCTCATAATATCCCAGTTGCTGTATCTTGATCTTCTTTTTAGTACTTCCGCTACATTTGTCTTGTGGGAGGGGAAACAGATGAATTTGGGGAAATCATTTAGGTTAGACATGTAGCATGGAAACAGAATTTGTTTACTTACCAATAATAGAGCTGATCAGGAGTAGATTCAGTGTAGGTGTGTTCTTTGCCACCACAGGGAAACATCTGAATGAATCCAAGCTGAGAATAATTTAAAGAAGTTGTAAATGGATGATAAATATGGATGTTGTCAAAGAGCTTGGGTTTCTCTGAGGAAGTTCTATGTCCACTGTTGCTGTCAAATTACTCATTGAGGAGCTGGAGGGTGACAGTAACTCTTGTTCTCTTGTTTTGAAGGTTAAACGAGAAATCCTGGTAGAAGTGCTAACAAAAAGAAAAACTGTGACTGCTAATGATAAGCTTATTTTGCCTTATAGTCTCAATGAGGTGAGTAAAAGAACATTAGTAGAATGATTTTAAATAACTGAAACTTACTTTTTTGGGTTAAAAAAGCTAATATGGTACACTTCGACATTGTGAAGGTGTTAGGAAAGTTAGAAGTTGACATTAAAGGAAAATTGTGATTTTATTTGTCTCTGCTGGGATTCCAATCTGTGAGTGACACTGGTTCGAAACAGAAATGCTTTTCTTTAAATGAAGTTCTGAACGTTGTTTGATCTGCAGGCAATAACAGCTCGTGATTCCATGGCAAAGTCCCTGTACAGTGCTCTGTTTGATTGGATTGTTCTAAGAATCAATCATGCACTTCTTAATAAGAAGGACATGGAGGAATCTGTTACAGTAAGTTTCTCCCAAAACAAGTCTTTGGAGGCAGTTGTGTCCTTAGATCAATGATGTGTTCAGGTATCTGGGATAAATTTTGATCGAGAAGCCCATGGTAAATTTCTTGGTAATATTTAATCATCTCTGTTTTTACAATAGACAAAACTCTTAAATATTCAAATTAAATATTCAAGTATTCAAAATCTATCAGCTTAGACTGCAATGCTTTCTGTACTGTTTATCTCTTGGGGGTTAAGGCACTGTATAACAGACTATTAACTAGATTTCCATGTCTTCTTTTAGTGTCTGTCGATTGGTGTACTTGATATCTTTGGATTTGAAGATTTTGAAACCAACAGTTTTGAACAGTTCTGCATAAATTATGCAAATGAGCAGCTTCAGTATTATTTCAATCAGCACATTTTCAAATTGGAACAGGTAAGAAACAAGAAATAAGACTGTTTTTATCAAGAGCTCCTGTATTATGCAAACTAACCTCTATTCTGCAAAATCCTTTGGCATAATTGTTTGAATATTTCTGGAAGTTTTACTTTTTTAACTTCTTGTTTCATTATTGCTTGTTATTGTTTGAAAGTAGTGGCTTTGCTCATCTATTTAGTGCTCTGTGTGTACTCATGGAAGTGAGGTCTTTCTTCAGAGGGCTGGCACTAAGTTCCTGTTTAACTGCAAAAACTAAGACAACATTCAGGTGATCTCAAATGAAACTGTGAAGTTTGATATTAAAAGTCTGTAGGTGAGGTGGGTTTGCTTTGTTTTAATGAGTAGGAAACAGTTTCTCTTATTTTTATCAGTTCTTAAGTATTTAATAAGTCTTTGTTGCTTTTCCCACCCAAGTGCATTTAGGGGATACAACTGTATGTTGATACTGGCAGTAGTTCTGAGATCCTGATGTTACTGGCATGTATTGATTTACTTGTTTGCAGATGCTATTATCTTACAGAGCACTTTGAGTGCTGCAGGAGTGAACAGATCCTGTTTCTAGACTGAGCTCTGAGGGCTTTTGCTCTAGAAACTTGGATTTTTTTCTGCTTCGTGTGAAAATGTGGTTCTCAAGTCACTCTGCTAAAAGGAAGAAGTCATTCTGTAGTATAGATAAATTTAAACAAGCATTTTAAAGAAAGGAAAATTACTAAACATCCAAATTTTGTGTGTAAACATAATGTTGAGGTCCGTGTTTGGTAACTTATGACAGAACTGGCTATCCAGGCTGACCAGAGTAAATAGTTGCATTGTCTTCTTTCTTTTTCTAATACTGTTTTTCCAAATAAGCTTAATCCTTGAATGACCCATTTCCTGTATCTCTTGCAGCCTGAGGGCCCTCAGGGGGATCTCTATATCTTTTTAAAGAAAGGCTTTTTTGTCTGTGGAAAATGGCACTTTAGTTGTGTAAGGCAGCACACACTGAGCAGTCTGTTGGGCAGGCTGAATTCTACCTACTTAAAAATAATGCATTTATCATCATCATCTAGAGCACTGAGAGGTGCTCTTTGTCCTTTGTTTAATATAAAACTTATTTGATTTTCTGTATGATACCTTCTTTTACTTTAGTATCTTATCATTAGTTTGTGGGTATTTACAGCATTAAGAAAATCTGATATTTTATTTGTAACTTAGCAGGAAGCTTGTCCTGTTGAGCATTTGATGCACTGTCATTTCAGCAGAAGAGCTTCACGTTCTTTTGTCAGAGAGCTCCAAATTTTCTGAACCTAGGCAATATCCATTGCTTCCTTGGGGAAGTTCTGGTGCTGTTTGTGTAGAGCTTAACTGCCTGTTTTGAAACTTCTGACTGTGCAATTTGAAAATTCTGAAACTTGATAATAAGTATTTGTCATTTCCTATAATACAAGAATTGTGGAAGAGAAAAATAGACTTAAACTCCTCTGATGTGTCTACACAGGGCTTTACTGGCATGCTGTAGATGTAATGTCTAAGTCCAGAGTCAGAGGCTGTGATTGCTGGGAAGGCAGAGCACAGCAGAACATTCTTTTCTCTACTTTTGTTTTTAAATAATTCTACCCCGAACATGCACTGTTGAGTGATGTGCCTAAGTGGACCTTTAATCTGAGTCAGTCTGCCTGCTGTTCTGTTCTAATTTATAAATCTTCCTTATTTCTGTCTCTGCTGCCTGAACTAACAAACTCCACTTGCTGTAGCTGCTTGAGGATGTGTTTTAAGCACTTAGAGCACAGGACATCAAAGGTCAGGGCACTGTACTGATGAGGGAATTTTCTTGAGCTACACAGGAGGAATATAAGAGTGAAGGGATCACTTGGCACAATATTGACTATACTGATAATGTGGCCTGCATTCACTTAATCAGCAAGAAACCCACTGGCCTGTTCTATCTTCTGGATGAAGAAAGCAAGTAAGCAACAAACATCTGGAAAAACATGTGTGGCAGGGAGGAGGGAAGGACTGAATGGGAACATGAATACAGCACTTGAAAAAAGAGAGGAATATTGTGGGAAGCAAAGGGTCCTTTATGACCCTGATTTACACTGTAGTTTGCTTCTAATGACTCCAATATGGTGGTGATATAAATTAATGCTAGAACTGAACTTTGGCTTAAGCAAATTTAGAAACTTCCATGTTTGTGGTTTACCATGGAATTACTAATTATCAAAATAAAATGCATGTATGTAATTCCTTGGAACATTAAGTAGCAAATGTGGCAAATAGTTAATGTCCTAACTAAACTTGGCTGGTGAAATGGGAGGAAACATTGACATACAGAATATTCTGCTGTGTGTGGAGCTGTTTGGTTTGGGTCCAGAAATTAAGCCCACCTCTAAAATTCAGAGCAGGTGTAGAGATCTTGGACAATTAATACTTTTCACAAGGATCAATAGGTGTTCGCTCTGTCACCATAATTAACACACCCGTACTTGAGAAGTAGCTGGCCTCTTTTGTTTTGTATTCCCAGTTTTCCACATGCCACCAACCAAACTCTACTGGCAAAATTCAAACAACAGCATGAGGAGAACAAGTTCTTTGTTGGAACCCCGGTGATGGAGCCCGCTTTTATCATCCGCCATTTTGCTGGAAAAGTGAAATACCAGATCAAAGTAGGTGATGGATCTGATGGCCATAAAATAATCCTTGCCTTTCTGAGGGAGTTTTTTGTAAGGGTGTAGAAAATTTGCTGGGAATGAGCTGGATTAAAGGGTACTCAGTTGTACTTTGGGTGGTGGTAGTGTAGACTGGAGGGTAACGCTATAGTGAGAATTATTTGGAATAATGAGTTATTCTGAGTAGTGATATCTTAGGTCAAAGCACAGCTTGTAGTTCAATGTGGCTATTTTTCAGGATTTCAGGGAGAAGAACATGGATTACATGAGGCCGGATATCGTGGCTCTGCTGCGGGGCAGCGACAGTGCGTTTGTGCGGGAGCTCATTGGGATGGACCCTGTGGCCGTGTTCCGCTGGGCCGTGCTGCGCGCGGCCATCAGGGCCATGGCTGTGTTTGCAGAGGGGGGACGTCAGAGGGCTCAGAAAACTGCAGGTATGGCAGGGAAAACTGCTCTGGGAACACTGAATCCTCTACAGTTGGTTAGTGCTCGCTGGCAGAACCAGCAGGTTTGTGGTAAAACCGCATCAACTGGTCGCAGTCTTTGGCACTAAGGGCAAAGCGACTGGTGAAAATGGTTTAACAGTCACACATCAAGGAGGTTGTCACTGTTTTACCTGAAATTATTCAGCCTTCCAGCTCCAATCAGTGCACCATGTCAGGCTGTGCCAAATTTGAAGTCCTAGTTGGTCAGAGCATAGTGCTGATAACACCAAGGTTGTGGGTTTGATCCCCACATGGGCCGTTCACTTAAGAGTTGGACTCTGATCCTTGTGAGTCCCTTCCAACTCGGAATATTCTGTGATGTTCTGTGAAGCTGGGGAAGATAGTTCTAGTTCTAGTATGCATTCTCATCTTATCACTAGTTTGATCTTCTTAGACCTCTCTGAATTTTCAAATGAGTATTCATAGTTAAAATTAATAGTTCATAACTATTAATTTTAAGAAGCTTTTCTGAGCAGCTGCAATTTACTTTCTAGAAGTAGGGAGTTTGAGAAGCAAAGTGCTGTAGCTCGATAAAATCCTAAATAAAAACTCCAGGCCCTTGGATAGATATTTTTCTTGTTACAGTTGATGGGGTGTTTTTTTCTGTCTATTATGGTCGTATCTTTGTCAAAATGCAACTTGTTGGTTATTTCCTGACAGGAGTGGTACGTCAAGGACCCAGAGTTCCCCTTGCTGAACTCCAGAGATCCAATACTCCAGTAGAAAAAGTTTATCGGTGAGAAAACATCCTTAACCTGTCCAGGGAAAAGAGCTGAATTACTGAGTTGCATTTTCATATATCAAATTATCAACTAGATCTTTCCACAAGGAGAGCAAGTTTCATTTCTTCTCTCTTGTTTTCTTTGGCCTTTATAATACTACGAAAACAACACTCCAGCTCATTTTATGTAAGACGCAGTGCTGCCACATGTTGGGGACAGCCTCAGACCCATTTACCACTGGGGTTTTGAGTTCTCTGTGCTTGGTGTGTGTTGCTTTTAGCATTGTGTTCGTCTGCAGCCAGTCTGTGTCACTGAAGGATTCATAGGAGCACTCATGTTTTTGCAGCCTTTTGACATCATTAGGAGGGAGGCATGTGCTACAGAACTGCCTCCAGTGTTCTCTATAGGCAGATTTGCCTTTCTATGGAGGATTTAGGCTTTATATATGTTCCTTTTGCAGCTACTCAGTGCTTGATTTCTCATTTGATTGTTCTGAGGATTACACTATAAATACTTTCCAAGACTTCATTCCTTTCCATGAAAACAAGAAGTAAGTAGCAATAGGCCTGAAATTCCAGGCCAGGGAGGCACATTTCCAGGCCATACTGACCTTCTGAGAATCCTCTGGGTAACAGTGAAGCCATGGAGCACATAAAGCAGTGACTTCATGCTGCTTCCTAATTACTTCATCCTGGACAGCCTCTGTCACTTGGGGCAATTAAGAACTAAAGATCCAATTTGGGTGAAAGGATTAGTCATAGAATAACAGATCTGTTTCCTTGGGACATCTTAAAACAAATCTTGATATTCCAAAATATTCAGAGGTACCAAGGGAAGCAACAGGTGTCTGTAATAGTACTGCTGCTCAGAATGGTGAGAGCATCTAACAGTCAGAAGTGATTCTTACACTTCTGTTATTTGTAATTTGTGCCTCTTTGGAGAGTAAAGAAGGTAAGTTCTGTGCCAGGACACAACACTTCACAAGCACAGTGCATGCTTAAGGAATGGAATCTGCCACGAATTAGAGACCACCCCAGGCTTACTTTGAAAAGCTAAACGTGAATAACTTTGAAATGGCAATGAAAACCAAAATTTCTTCAAGTATCCTCCTAACAACTTGTTTGTAACTTACTTTTCTGATGTGTGTTTAAGTAGCCTCATTTTAGTAATCAAATATATGTTAAAAATATTTATTGTTGATTATTAAGAAGCTTATATCTATCTGAAAAGGATACTACTTGGCTAAACAAAAGGGTTCCCTGCCCGTTAAGTACATTTTGCTAAATTTCTCTCCATTTTCTGAATTGATGGCTCAAGAATTTGCATTAAAAGGTAGAATTGGAGAGTAAGTTTAGAATGAGACCCTGGCAATTAAATTTTAGGGCACTGATGGAGTAGAAAGTGCTGACTTGACATCAGAATCATTCACGCTTAGGAAGAAGTAGCCTGGGATCGACCTGCCACAGTTTGGAGCATACTTGATGATGGGATCTCTTGGGGTTTTAACTCCTGTTTTCCCCCCCTCCTCATTGCTGTGTATCTCTGTTTGCCACCTTTGTGTTGCTGTGGACCATTTTAGAGACATGCATGAGCAGATCATCGCCAGTATTAAAGGACTGCCCTGGCAGGGGGGGGATCCCTGCAAGCTGCTTCGGTCACTCAGCCACCTTCAACACCACTCCCACTTCATGTGAGTTCTGGTGCTTTGGTGATTGCTTTGAAAATGCAACAAGAACCAAGCAGTTACTCCACTCCCTAAAAAAGATACCTGTCTCAAGCTTGGCTTCTGCAAAAAACTAAGCAAGACAATGAAGAATAAAACATCTCTTCTGAAAAATAGCTTGTAGGGAATGCTTTGTTGCTTCATTGCTTTAGATGAAAGTTAAGCCTGCTTCTCACGTAAGCTTGCTTTAAACCCAAGTACGAGCTTGTTGTTGCAAAATATTCAACAGTGAGATCTCTCACAAGGTATAAGGAATGGTTTCCTGAAATTCAGGATGCAGAGGCTGGATATATTCCTGGGTTAAGAGTATTTACATGTACAATTCTGTGCCTGTGTCAGAAAATGAATCTGGGCTCCATTGTATAATAAGTAACTGTATAATTGTATAATACATAAGTAAATGTATAATAAGTAAACTTGGTGGCACGGAGCTGGAACCTGCCTCACACATGCTTGGAGTCAGGAGGATGTGAACTGCAGGCCTGTTTCTAAGGGCTTCCACTTGTTCACCTTCTGTGTGTGGATGGGAGCAGTGCCTGAGGTGTATCCTGCTCCAGGCAGTTCTGGGAATGAGCTCAGACATTCCAGAATTCCCAGGTGGGGTGCTGGGACATGCATTGTCCTTCTGGGAGTAGTTAGGTACTTTCACAGGGGTTCTGCTGCAAGCAACAGTAACTTGTGAGTCAAATGTTTTTATTTGGTAGTGCCTTAGTATTAAACAAGAGTTCAGTGACTGTACAGTTCAATAGAATAACTCACACTGAAACAGTCTCTGAAACAGTGCAGTTTGGAACAGCTTTAACTTCAGAGAAAATCTTTCACTTTTGAAAGCTTCCAATACCTACAGAGTTTATTTAATAAAAAGACGTTCTTGTTGCAAAGCAGTTTGCATTTCTTGCATTGATTACTTGCGAGAGACATGGGTGAACACACCCTGCTGCTGTTTGTGCTCATTTTCTTCTGTCCTTCATCTTATCTCATATAACTTATGGCTTGCTGAAATAACAAAAAATCATGTGTATTTCTTTCCTAAATTATATTTATTTTAACAGGAAAAGTAAAGGTATCAAACAGAAGCAGATCGTTCCCAAGGTAAAGTTATTCAGAAAATTTAGATTTCTCTTTTTTGGTTTGTTTTTTTTTTTTTTTTTTGCACTGTGAACTTAATTTTGATTGCCAGAACTCACTGCAGAAAATATTGTTTCACAGGGTAGGAAAGTTGTGTTGTTTATGCTCTTCTGACAAGCTAAGAATAGATAAATGTTCACCTTTATAAGAATTGTTAAACAGGAAAAAATTGTGAGCTAGCATCTGTTTAGTTAGACTGGAGGTGCCAAAAATGCATAAAGTCACTTCAAATCAGGGAAGGCAAACACAGTGATTATGTAATTCTTCTTGTTTACCTTATATTCTTGGGATGGGGCAGTGGAAAAGTTTCCCTCTTAAGGAGTGTTTTCGTCCAAAATAGAAATAATTACAAAAGGTAACATGCCATTGAATGTGGAACTCTAGGTAGCTGGTTTCATTTTTACTCGTTTGGATGCAGACAGAAGTATTTCCCCTTTAACTGAGACCTGCACTTTGTTGATTATGAAAAATTTCTTCTAGAACTTGCTGGATTCCAAATCGCTGAAGCTCATAGTGAGCATGACTCTGCACGACCGAACCACAAAGTCCCTTTTGCACTTGCACAAGAAGAAGAAACCCCCCAGCATAAGTGCCCAGTTCCAGGTAGGTGACACACCCCTGGTGCACCCTCAGGGAACAGGCCCTCCTGGGCTATCTAGGCTGGTCTTGCTTGGAAAACAATGGGTTTTATTCTTGAGATTTGTCTGAAGTAGGGTTATTACTTGATTAAAGTCAGTGCATTTAAAGACTCCCCTTATGCTGTGAAATGTGTTAGTTCTCTGTGCCAATCAACCTCATCCTTGTATGCAGATCTAGTGCTACTGTTACAGCATAAGCAAACCCTGCTTTAAATTCTCTTGAGAAAAGGTAAAAAGTAAAGACAGGGATGTGCCGTGGAGTGTGGGAGAACCTCTGCTTGGATGAAAAAGGATTTTATATAGCCAAGAGACCTGAAAGATCTTATTCCTGAGGCAGAAGCTGCACTGCAGTCAAACACAACTCAAAATGCTGATATCTGAAGAAGAAAAATATTTCTGAATGTTTCATTTCAGAATTCACTTAATAAGTTACTGGAGACCCTGGGCAGAGCTGAGCCCTTCTTCATCCGCTGCATCCGCTCCAATGCAGAGAAGGTGAGGCTGCCCTGGGTCTGAGCTGGGTGCTGAGGGTCTAAGGTTCCAGCCTTGTAATATCTCTCTTTCAACTTGTTCACTGTCACTCTTCAGGCGCTCACTGCATGTTGTCTGCTGATGTCTTTCAGAAAGAAATGCTTTTTGATGAAAACTTGGTGCTTCAGCAGTTACGGTACACGGGAATGCTAGACACTGTGAGGATCAGGAGGTCTGGCTACAGTGCCAAATACACATTCCAGGTATGTAAGGAACTGCATTGTGTTTTCAGAAATATCTGCTCTATTTGGAAAAGCACATGTTGCCTCAGAGTCTTTTGTGGCTCTTCATATGAAACTCATGACTTGGGGTGAACTGTAAAAATGCATTGTCGTTTTGAGAGAGCCTCTGTGGTAAAAAGTTGTAGTTGAACTATTGTGAGTCGTCTGCCAGTAAGTTGTTCCTTGTTGCATGAAGGAAAGCATTCAGTCAGTGCTGCACAGTACTGCTTCCATGTGGGAGTTAGTTTTCTGTAAAACAATCCGGTAGCTTTAGGGATCACGTACAGGTGATCTTTACCATTAACTGGACTGAAGCCTGCATTTTACAGAATAGGAAAAATAGTTCTGTTTGAAGTATTTTCAGGTTTCTGTAGCATAAGTGTCTTAATCAGATTTATGTTTTAAAGCTAAAACTCTAAACTTGTGAATTGTCTTCTAACTTTGGTCTCTTGCTGTCTCTGCTTTTCACAGGAATTCATAGACCAATTTCAGGTGTTACTGCCCAAAGATGCCAAAGCCTCTAAGGAAGACATTTGTGCTTATTTGAATAAACTAAAACTGAATGAAAGCTACTATCAAATAGGGAAGACCAAGGTCTGTGAAACTTTCTGTAAGGCAGTAAGAAACATTGATGTACACTGCAAAATTCAGTGCCGTTCTTTTACAGGTGTTACTCTTCTCTGCATTTTGTACTAAAATGAGCTGTTTTAACTAGCAAATGTTGACACAGATGTTACAGTTGCCTCCTTGGTTTTAATGCCAACCTGTTTTCTTGACACAGTACAAATCTGTATTATATGGTGCTATTGGCATTTGTCAAACAGGTCGATGTTTTCATTTTAGAAGTGACCTGTGATTTGAAGGCTGTAAATACAGTTGTATGTTTTAGAATGCAAACTCTGAAATTTAAAAGGACTTTTAACTTTTTGGGCATGCTGTCAGCCAGTAAGGTTTGGTGCAGTGCTAAGCATTACCATTATCTCATTATACCTCCAATGAGGGCTCAAAGGCTCCTGTTAACTGCTTTTTGATGAACTTTTCTTCAACTGGGCAGGTTTTTATGAAAGAGGCTGAAAGGCAGATACTACAGGATACACTACACAAAGAAGTGATCAGGAAAATCATTCTTCTCCAGAGCTGGCTCAGGATGGTTTTGGAAAGGAGGCGCTTTCTCAGGACACAGCAGGCGGCCATTGTTTTACAGGTATCTGTAAGAATTGCCAACCTTGTTTTCCCAACAAACTGTTATGTAACGCTCCCCACCTTGAAGAAGCCCTCTCTTTCTTACTTCAGAAATATCCCTTCCAGGCCTGCTGGCGTTCCCGCTGTATCAGGATGGCCCTGCAGAGGAGCAATGCTGCCATCGAGATCCAGGCAGCCTGGAGACGGTACCGGGAGCGGAAACACTTCTTGCAGCACAGGAGGAGGATTTGTTTCCTGCAGGCCCTGGTCAGAGGGCACCTGACACGTAAGAGGTAAAGGAGGAGGAGCAATATGACTCAGCTACTTGGCTTCACCTGCCAAGCTCAGTTTGTGTGATGTTTTGACTGAATGAACAACTTAATAAACTGTTGCCCAGAGAAGCTGTGGCTGCCCCATCCCTGGAAGTGTCCAAGGCCAGGTTGGACAGGTCTTGGAGCAACTTGGACACCACTAGGAAGGTGTCCCTGCCTATGGACACTGGATGGGCTTTAAGGTCCCTTCCAACCCAAACCATTTTGGAACTCTGTGAAGTTAAAGGTAGTTATTACCACGTGATATTTCAGTATCAAGTGACCAGTGGTGTGTGGACACTGGTTAAGCGCTCAGGACTTGAGCTTTACTGAGCTGAGCTGCACTGATGCTGCCAGTCCTGACAAGCAGACACCTCCCTGCAGGCACACTGGGACTGTAGCTGTACTTTGTGCTTGTATTGCTATTTGGGCTGCATTTAAGCAGTTGGTACTTTCTTTGACCACTGGGCATTAAATATTTGTGTTTTCACCTTACAAATTCTTAACAGATATCAGGAAATGGCTGTAGAAAGGCAGAAAGCTGAAAAAAAGCAGAGAGAAATGCAGGAAGATGAAGACAGAGAGGATGATAAGAGCAAGCATGAGCAGAGTGAGCCAGCAACACATGAGCTACCTGTGACACATGAAACAGAGCTGGATCAGGCTGCTGGGGATGAAGATCGAGCTCAGAATGAACAAGCTGAAGATCGAGCTCAGAATGAACAAGCTGAAGATCGAGCTCAGAATGAACAAGCTGAAGATCGAGCTCAGAATGAACAAGCTGAAAGCCTAGGTTCATCTGAAAACCTGAGCTCATCTGAGATAGCCACATTACCCCAGAAGAACATGACAGAGGGCTCGGAGAAAGTAACCACCAGCCGGGAGAAGAGGGAATCTCGTCGGCAGAGGGGGCTGGAACACAACGACTTGCAGAACAAGCACGTCCTGTTGTCCTTCGAAGGACCATCTTCGCTGTGCCTTGAGGAACAAACCACTTCTGAAGAGGCCCTGGAAACTGTTCCAGTGCCAGAGAAATCCACAGCACAAGATTATACTGTCCCTCAGGGAAGCAGTGAGGAAGAGAAAAGTCCAAGTGAAGAAAAAGCCCTTCCAGACACGCCACCATCAAGTGAGATAAAGGAAAGTGGTTCTGTTCCTGAGCAACCACCAGTATCAGAAGAGGGTGATGTGGCAGCTGATAGAACAAAAACACAAGGGAATCAGAGTAACCAAATAAAAGGCAGCCAAAGCTTTACCTGCCCTGAAAGGCCCACGAATCTTGCACTGAATCTTCATAACATGTTGTCAGCTACTGGGAGCTTTCGGAGTCCATCTGACCCCTGGGCAGATAAAAACAAACGTCTTGGTCAGAGGGCAACCAAAGACCTGGATAGTCCCACTGCTTCTGCAATCCAGAGATATGTGGATGACCCAGAGAAGCTGAAGTACAAGAGGGAGAAGTGGAAAGGCAAGAGACAGTCTGATGCTGGTCAGAATGATGTGCTGAGTCAATCCTTGGATGGAAGGACACGTGTGGATAAGTCTCCTCAGGATCAACTGGAGTAAGGGCAGCTTCCTTTTTATTTACTTTACAGAAAACAGATATCTGGAATGTTTAAACATAGATGGAGAATTCCTGGGAGCCTGGCCATATTATGGGAGCAAATGGAGCTATGAACAACTGCTTTTCCTTGGCTCCTACTCCTGCAGGGAATCTGTATGGGCACAATGTTTTCAGAAGCTCACAAAAGATACAAAGCCTGCCTGGCTGAATTAAAATGGAGAGTCAGGGCTTTAGATGAAGTAGAGTCTGGAGTGTATTTTCATGTGTCTTTTATCCACTGAAAACAAAATTTTAGTGAGCTGCAGTTTGCAACCATCATCCCTCTGATATGGCAGGAAATCTGACATTCCCATCTTTTTTCACTTGTCCAGTAAATTTTGCATTTAAAAGTGAGTTGCAAGAGCTGATCAAGATTCTGTCTCAGATATAACATCGATATGTATGTTATTTAAAAGTTGTTAAATATTAAGGGGCTACAGACTTAATTAAAATATATATTCGGAAACTTATCCTGTAACATTGCAGGAAGAAGGGGAGTTCAGCTTCATTAAGTGATCTCTCAACACTGGCCCAGACTGTTGCCATGAATCAGGTACTGATGCTATTGTGCATATTTATACCTAATTATCCTTGCTTATAAATATTAAAGAATTGTAAACAATTCTGTAGTATTCTGTGTGCCTGTGTTCCTTCAGGTTAAATTTTTTTTTTGTTTGATATCCATGTAAAAAAAATCTTTAGCAAATATTATACAAGAGTTTGAAAACTTAATTTTAAATAAATGGATCCGTGGTTAAAGCATTAAATATACTTGGATCTTATATTAATATGCTAATATTTTTAGCTAAAGTGTTTTGTGTTGATGAAACAAAGTTTTTTTACCATTCTATTTTTTAAAACCATTTAGACAATCTATTTCACTCACAATGTAGTTTTTGATGCCTCCTCTCAACTGTAGCAATCACCAGATATGGTAGAAGAAGAAAAAGGCACCAAGAAATACCCTGTGCAGAAGAAGCCCAGTGACCACTTACCTACCTTGGACACGGCTGTTCCTGTGCAACCAGCGAGTCAGCAGGGAGATGCCAAGTATGTGCTGTGTGTGTGACTGGCCTGTGTTTGAGAAAATGGGGAAAAAAAGGATATTTTCCACTTGTGCTTGAATTGGGCATCTTGAGACTGCAGTTGTGGAGAGACATGCGTTGGCATCAGCTACTGGAGTGACTGTTACTGCTTCATGTTGCAGTGGGCCTGATATCTGACCCTGCTGGGGAACAGCTTCTCTGCTTCTTGCATAACACTTGTCTTTGAACTGATTCTTTTTAAAATAAGAACCAATTTACAGCTCAGATCAAAGGCTCTTGTAGAGAGACCCCAAGAGAAAAGCTGAAGAACCCAGCAAGCATGTCATGCCACTTCCCTGGCCTTCTCCTCCAGCTTGTGACACTCTGCAGCTCCGGGACTTCCTGAGCCAGAAACAGTGTTCTGGATATGGGATGTGTTGTCTCTGTGTGTGCTGAAAAGTGTGCTCTAATCTAGTAAATATCAGAAAGTCCAAGTGTGCTTTCACATTGTCTTTCTTTTTTTGTGCTGCTCATTTTTCCTGCAGGTCGGACCTAAAATGTTCCTAATACAGGTTAATCCTGTTGTGTGTAACTGTTATGAGCCTGTTCTTGTAACAGAACCAGCTTCCATTTCTAATGGGACACGCTTGTATCTGCTTTTGTGTTCAGGTCTGCTTTTAAAAGTCCTTTGCGTAGACTTTTGGGGAAAAAGCCAGACAAGAAAATTCCAAAGGAGAGCTCTGATATGATTGAGGAAGGAGATGGCCTCTCCCTTGTATCTTGTGTCCTCTTTACAGACACAGGAGGAACTCAGAAAGTTTCAGAAGGTGAGTTTGTGTGATTTAACCCTTAGCATGCTGATGTCTTTTCTGTGAGGTTTTGCATGGCTATAGAGGAAACAAACTGCAGAATTCACCCTGATTTAATGTGCAAATTGATTTCTTTCCCAGCTTCTTCTGGGCAGCCAGGCCGCGCCCAGGCAGTGAAGGAGATCAGCAAAGCAAAGAAGAACAGGACCATAAAGATCAGCAAGATCTCGAGCGTGTCCCAGAACTGGCGAGCGTCCATGGTCCGCGAGATTGCAAATGCCAATGAGCTGAAACACCTGGATGAGTTCCTCCTCAACAAGGTAAGAGGCTCTCAACCGTGATAAAATTCAAATCTATGTTCACTGCTTTTGTGGAATTTTAGAGCCTACTTTTCTAGCTGCAAATTTTTGTTATAATTTAAAGCAAAGTGGAATTGATTGGATGTCTTGCCTGAGTTAAGTCTGTATTAGGGCCCTTCCTATTCCGTTCTTGAAGTCTCTGAATGCATTTATATTGCATTAAATACTCAGGCCATTCATGTTAGTTCTTCATTTGTTTACAAATGAGTGGGCAGCAAAAGTTGTATTAAAAAAAAAAAGCATGAGTTGTAAGGAAATATTTCTCTAGAGCTGAACTACCCGACTCTTTTATTTTGTATCATCAGCACAGTGTATTAAGAAACATTGTTTTAAATAATTGGAATGGAAGCTCAACTCCGGTGGGATGTTCTTGTTTTAATGACATCTGATGCAGGTTTATTTGTCTTCTAGATCAATGACTTACGCTCCCAGAAGTCTGGTGTTGAGTGTTTGTTTTTTGAAGCTACAGAGAAATTTAGAGGAAACATCAAGACCATGTACTCTGCTCCTGTAAGTAGTTAAGTCTCAGTAAAGGAAAGTTGGCAGGCAATAAATGAGTTGAGTGTGCAGGTTAAAGGCTTGGCCTGCAGCTCTTTAACAAAGCAGTTCAGCAATTCTTAGCGTAAAGTTCAAAGCTGAATGTTAGACTCATTTTACAGTTCTGCTGTAATCTTAAGCAGATTTCTTTGTTTCCCTTTTCACATTCACTCAGCCATAAATTTATTTTTAGAGATGGATGGATTTTGCTGTCTTCAGCCTCTTAATGCTGCTGTGTTTAGACACCAATGAGAGGTGCCAACAGCTTTTCCAGTGTCCTTCTGACACTGCCTTGTCTCAGCCAAGTGCTGTTGGACAGTGCAGTAGACAAGTCTGTGAACTTATTTCTGTCATGGGCTGTTATCTTTGACTTTGATCATGGCTGTGCTTTCTCACCTCTGAACTTAAACACATGAAAATATGAAATTGCCTCAACACTATCCAAAAAGACTGTCTTACAAGTATTTTACCCTTCTCTAGAATGGACAAATCCATGTTGGCTACAAAGATCTGGTGGAAAATTACCAGCTTCTAGTTACAAATCTGGCCCAAAAAAGAGAAGAGAAAGAAGTCAAGCTGGTTTTGAATCTCTTTCAATCCCTTCTGGATGAATTCATCAGAGGATATACAAAAAAAGAGGAATCTGAGCAGCCCAAGGTATAAAAGTTATTCTGTTACTGGCTTATGGGATGATGAAACACTGTTACTGTCTCAGCATAACAATTACCTTAGAAACCTTTTCCAGAGCATTCTTTGTTACTTGGCAAACACTTGCCATACACACATTATGTGTGTAGCAAATTCTGATTTGCTGATTCACCTTTTTGGAATTGTTAATCTTTTAACTTTCAGATTCTGAAGATGTTAAGAGTAAGTGTTTGTGCATTTTCTTTGATAAAAACATAGGAGTTCTCTGGAGGTTTGAGAGCTGGAATTGCTTTGTCATCAGGCAGTGAGCTCAGCTGGTTTTTAGGAAGTTGGTAGTGTGAGCTCAGACAACCCAAGCTGAAGCTGCAGGATAGTGTCTCAAATGTCTGGAGGTGAAGTAGAGCCTGGGAAACTGAATAGCAAAAAAAGGGAATGGAATATCTGAATTTCAAAGACTAACAGCGGTTTTGTATCCTGCTGCAGCAAACCAAAGCCCAGAAGAAGAAACGAAAACAAGATCGTGCAGTGAGTACTTTTTCTTTTGCAATAGTCCAAGTCCTCAGGCGCACTCACAGAACACAAACACCCTTGGAAGAGTTTGATTTTTGTACTGATATTCTGTTTTATTTTGCATACTAATTCACTTACCTCTTATGAAGATGTGACATGATATAAAACTGTTCTTCATAAATCAGAAATCTTGCTTTTATGCAGTGATAGGTGGTACTCAAATATTTTCTTGCTTGTCCATAGCACCTTTTAGAAGCCAATGGCTTTCTCAATAATGGACTATTTAAAGGAAAACAGCTATTGAATAGTAACAACAAACTAGAGCTCATGTATTGCACTGATGAACTTTAAGGCAGCAAGCCAATTATGAAATGATCCAGCAAACCCAACTGCCTTAAGATAGGGCAAAATTTGGTTTCAAGTTCAAAGCCTTCAGTTGTAATTGTAAAATAAAGTGGAAAATCTGATACAGGGTAAATGGTTTTATTAAAAATAATAATAATTTTTAAAAGGCAAAAAAATTCACTAATTCCTTTCTGTCTCCCACCAGATTGAAGAACACAATGGCCATGTGTTCACAAACTACCAAGTGAGCATCCGGCAGTCGTGTGAGCACTGCTCATCCTACATCTGGCCCATGGAAAAAGCCTGTCTGTGCAGTGGTGAGTAAACACCCCTCAGCCTTCCTGCTTAGGTTACCATATGTGCAAACTGCTTGTAACTTTGGCTGCTGCAGATGGGCCTTAGTGAACAGTACATGTGGTTTATATAGGCAGTGAATAAAACAAGGTGCTAATGTGTTTTTTAATGTGATTTGGATGCTTGTAACAGTTGCTCCTTTCTCTCTAGTTTGCAAGTTGACTTGTCACAAGAAGTGCATGTCCAAAATCCAGAGCAGCTGTACCTCCTGTGGGAAAAAGGTAAGGCCTGTGGACCTGGCATGGGGTTCTGTGGTACCATAAGTTTTGCATGCAAAACGCTGCCTTTGTTTCTCAGCAAAGGAACAGTGGATGTCCAGGCAGTGAATAAAAATTGCCTAAACACTTCCCTTCTCTGCATATAGTCAGGTGCAGCTCTGCACGTGCAGAGGCAGAACATTCTTCTAAGAGGTGATGCTTGAGCTAATTTGGGAACTCTTCTTTCAGAGTGTGTGTGCAGTGTTGGACAAACTGATAAAGAAATCCTTCAGTGTGAACCATAAGCGTTCTTTATTGCTGCAGCTCAGGAAATCTGCCTTATGCCTTGCGTGTAGCAAGCTAGAATAAAACACTCAGCTTTAGTTTCTGGAAGCATAAGATAAGCGTAGCATGAAACAGTGGAATTTCCTAGCTTGGGAACAGGATTCACAGTACTTGGCCTGTATCTGTTCCAGAATGAGCAGGATGCAGAACCACGACACTTCGGAGTGAGTGTGAGTTCCCTGACCAGCGAGAGGAACTCGGTTCCTGTTGTCATGGAGAAGTTGCTAGAATACGTGGAGATGCATGGGCTCTACACGGAGGGGATCTACAGGAAATCTGGGTCAGCAAATCGGATGAAGGAGCTCAAACAGTTGCTGCAAGCAGGTCAGGCACTCTTGTCCACCCTTTGGACTTCCTTGTGATATCAGCTTTCCCTGCAATTCTCTTCTATCTGAAAGTATCTGGCACGTTCTGGTGTTTTAAAAACAGCTTTTTGGTGACCATGCAGGCTGTAGTATTTTTGTTGGCTGCCAGAAGCTGCTTAGTACCTCTAAATTACTATCTTCTGTTGTTTTTTTTTTCTTCTGAATTGCCACTGGGATTCTGTGAATGGGAAAGCTGAATTGTGAGGAGGAATGAATTGCTCTAAATAAAACATTCCTTTTCAGATCCAAACTCAGTGAAGCTGGAGAATTACCCTATTCATACCATCACGGGGATCCTTAAACAGTGGCTGCGGGAGCTGCCAGACCCACTGATGACATCAGCACAGTACAATGATTTCCTCCGAGCTGTAGGTAGGTTTTAAAGTAATTTTATAAACATTTCTTTTTTAACTCATTATGCTCTTGGGAGAAGAAACTCTTAAGATGCTCATGCTGGATAAACAGCTCCTTCCAGTGCAGTTATGACAAAGATTTTAGACATTTTACATAAAACACTTTTCAGGGAATTTCTCCTCTAGCTTACTTCCATCTTGCTTTGAGATTCCTTTTTTTTGAGGGGGGAGGGATTGTAGTGTAATATCACTATACAGCTGATCTTTCTGTAAACAGTGAGATTGTAAATAAGTTGCCTTTCATGCGTGTTTTTTCCTCTTTGATGGTCTAAACCAGATCTTAATATCCAGATATCCCAAATCCTTAAATTCTTTTGACTTCAGTGGGATTAAGGCATCCTAAATATTGTTGTAGGTCTTGATCAGTCGCTTGATGTTTAACAGCAGCAGCATTTGAAAATGCAGGACAACTGCAGTGCCATGAGGGATGCTTTAACATTCAATTATAACAGTTGGTGAATGAAATGACAGTGAGACTTCTAAGAATTTGCAAATTTTAGCTTTCCACTAGCCTTGCAGAGCATTTATCACCTTGTGCTTTCTCCCTTTGTGCAGAACTACCAGAAAAACAGGAGCAACTCTGTGCCATTTACAGTGTCCTGGAACAGCTCCCACAGGCAAATCATAATACCCTGGAGCGACTCATCTTCCATCTTGTCAAGTAATGAGTGTAATTACTTCATTTGTAGAGAAACTGTGTGACTCTTAAGTGCTTCTTGGAAGCTTTTTAAAGTCTTAAACTCCTTAAGTGTTAGTGTAGGACTTGTGCTGCTGGTTTAGACATGAAAGAATTGAAGTTGATAGTTGTGCTTGAGAACAGATACGGGGTGACTTCTACAACCTCGTGTGTTTGGATCAAATCGGGTAAGAACAACTTTGAAGATAAGGTAGATCTCACAGTCTTGGTGAATCATCTGAACACCAGGATTTATACAGATAGTACGTAATGAAGGATGAACGTATGTGAGTCTTAGGAGCAGGGATTAATGGTGCTGGAAAAGAGGCTGCTCTTATCTAAGGAACTTGAGGATTTTCCAAGTGCCCTCTGAACATGGTTCTTAGAGATGAAACACTGAATCACCAGACATACTTTGGGAGGCTACCAGACTAGTTTAACCTGGGTGACTCCCTGGTCCTTTTTCTGATGCACAAAATTTTGTCTACTTGTGTGAAATGATTTTAATGGTTTTTTTTGAACTGCTATATGCACTGAGTGCCTGAGAGGCCTCCTTGCGTGTTATTTGGGAACTCTGGCAAGGTGCGATCAGGTTGCTTGCATTCTAGCAAGGTTTGCTTAAAATCTCTTTTCCTGAATGTTCGATTTCAGAGTGGCTTTGATAGAAGATGTCAACCGTATGTCACCCAATGCCTTAGCCATTGTGTTTGCTCCATGCCTCCTGCGCTGTCCGGATACCTCTGACCCCTTAACCAGCATGAAGGACGTTTCAAAAACAACCATGTAAGTTTTAGCAGTCTGAAAAGTACTTTCTCAAAAAAAGTACTTTAGAGTGGGATGGAAGGCCAGGACCACTGCCTGCATTTGTTATGACCTTGTTCCTATCAAGCTGAGAAACTGAGGGTTAAGAGTTGCTGAATCCTGGCTCTGCTGGTGCTGCCAATTTATATGCCCCTCTCAGACCTTCCACCTGTCTCCAGATCTCAAAGCATCAAGTAGGATGACTTAGAAGTCTTAAATATCAGGTTTGTGTTTTACATCAAGATAATCTTTTGGGTGGATTGTACATCAATCATTTGTTTTGCTGAGATACGAGCAGTAAACAGTATGATAAAGTTAAGCTGTCTCCTGTATACATGAAACTCCCTGATAATTTCTTCTGTGTTGTTCCTTGAACTGGGGAAGGTTCTGTCCTTGATCCTCTCTGTTCTCACCCTCCAGCAGCTCTGGCTCTCTGAGTGCCCCTCGCTGTGCATCTGCCTCCAGTGGAAACAGAGTTTGAAAAATGACAGCTTTTTGTAACTTTTTGCTGACCACAGAGGTGGAAAAGGGCAGTTGCAGATTCATTCTGTGCCAGCACAGGGAAGACAGGTAGAAGCAGCAGAAGCTGTTGGCAGCCCTGGTAATGTCTGTCTGCTCACCATTGTGTACAGTCAGCGTAGGAGGCTCTGGTTATCCCAGGAGGAACATATGCCATTGCATTTAACCATTACCTGTCCTGTTCTGCTTGCTGTGTTGGACTCTCCACCCTGTCACCCTGCAGTGCCACCTGTAGGGAAAGTGTTGGGACACTTTATGTGTGATAAACACCCCCAGGCCAAGAGAGGCATCTCATCCCACCATGGTTGTTCCAGAGCTTTTATGGTATGAGGCTGCTCAATATGCTCTTGTCCTTTTTCCCAGGTGTGTAGAGATGCTCATAAAGGAACAGATAAGGAAGTACAAGATAAAAATGAATGAGATCAATCAGCTGGAAGCAGCAGAGAGCATTGCTTTCCGACGGCTCTCGTTGCTCCGGCAGAATACAGTAAGTATTGAAATAAACCCATCATCCCACCAGATTTTGGGAAATGAAGTACTACTTATTTATCCTGTCCATCTCATTCAGTAAGTCAAAAATCAGTTGCAAGATAAGAAGAAAAGGGATTTGGACTTACCCAAAGTAGGACTTGCCCAAGGAGCTGTAGGTAGGAGCTAAATATACAGCTGGACTGGAGTCTGATAAATGAAGGGTACGGAGGTGTGGGGATCTGCTCTTGCAGTGATCAAAATCTATTCCCATATAATTCCATCAGTAGAACTAACAGAGTCTCTGACATGGCAGTGGAGCTCCTTCACTCCAGAGATGGCTGGTGGGCAAAAATATGCTGTGTTCTAGTAGGGCAAATAAACTTATTCTTTGTTTTTGTTGTACTGATTAAAACCAACCAAATTGTGTCTGATCAGAAGCGGCATATAGTTAATTTGGTCTCCATCTCTCTCTAGCTCTGGCCTGTAAAACTTGGGTTCTCTTCCCCTTACGAGGGGAAGCTGGTACGTACAACTGCCTGGGTGTAGTGCATGGGCTTTTCTTATGGTACTATTGCATGACTAAAATACTTATTACACATCTGTAACTTTGTTTTAAACACTGTTTTAAACAATCAAGACTGCATGTATTGGTGCAACCTCCCACCCCCAGACTGCATGCAGGGCTGCTGGCCTGTTCTGTCCTCACCTGATATTTTATAGACACTGTATGTAACTTTTATTGGATTTAATAATATTACTTATAAGTGACTACTAAAACTAAGCTGAGGCTGACAGATCAAAAAAGGTAACAAAGCCCCAGAAACCAGGTGAATAGGAGATTTTCTCTTTCTCTTTGAAATGTTTGTATGGATAACTAACAGCTCTTCATTAATTCCCTCAGCCTTTCCTTTGACCTACTCATTTGTCTTCTACTCTGAAACTTGCAGACCAAGACTTGTGTAGCTGCTTGTAACTGAGAAGTGTTATGCATGAATTTGTCTTGCAGAGTAAAAGCTCTCAGGTCAAAGGAAATGACAGTGGCACCTCAGATCTGGACTCGGTGCATGAAGATGAAGAAGTTTCTGAAGCCAATAACCGGGAAAAGGAGATTCTCATCGATCGCATACAGTCAATAAAAGAAGAGAAGTAAGTCCCCTTTCACCTGGGTAGCATAAAAGCAGAATACCTTTTGTCCAAAAGGTTCTAATTCTGTTCTGTAGAGGGGAAAGGGAAAATACAAAGGACTAGCTGAGAGAAAATACCATGAGAATTAATATTTAATGACTACATACTTTGCCTCTGAACGCGAGCTCGTGTTAGAGACGTTGTCTCGGTTGAGTGTTCTAGCCTGTGTTTGATGCAGAGAGGACATAACTTACCGGTTACCTGAGCTTGACCAGCGGGGCTCCGACGAGGAAAACGTGGACTCGGAGACGTCGGCAAGCACAGAGAGCCTGCTTGAGGATAGGACAGGCCGGATGGATACCGAAGGTCAGTATTAAGGTAGTGTGTGCTTTTTTTTATTCTCCATCTTCTGCTACATACAGCCAGGTGAGCAGATGCTATCTGCTCATGGTGGCTTGGATCAAGTTATTGCTATCAGTCTCTAAGTGTCTTGTTTCTGTAAAGCAATTATTGGATTACACTGCCGTGCTCAGAGCTCCAACCTGCCTGCCAAAGACATTTGCAAAGTGCCTTCTCTCCCACAAACCTCTTCACATTCCTACTCTGCATCCCTGGCTTCAAGGCGCAGATACTCTCTAACACTGTCCAAGATGAAAGTGCCCCGTCGAACTCCAGTGATGCCAACAGCAAATATAAAACTCCCTCCTGGGATGTTCAAATGTACAGAATACCAGGATGAGGTTTCTGCTAACAAGGAGTCTCAGGTGGTGAGACGTAGGGAGCAGCCAGCAAGGCGGACTGACAGCATCTACTCGGTATACATTGCACAAGGGTCTGCACTGGCCCACGCTCAGGAACTCGTGGATGAATATGAACCAACTGCAAAAGTCAAACGGAGGTTCTCAGATCCTTATTCTCACATTCCCTGTATGGAGAAGTGAAATACTTCAGCTCTCTGGACTTTTTTTGAAGTTGACCACAGCTTTTGGCTTTAACCCTTTGAAGGCTGTAAACTTGTGTTTAAGTGGCTGCCAGGAAGGCAACCTGGAAATGTACAGTACTGTAAAGGTTCAGCAAGGTTGTTTAAAGCAAATATTTTCCACTTTAAATTAAAACCTTGCAAAAAAACTAAAATTTAATGCTGAGTAAAATATGTGGGTTGAGTGTACAGGAAACAAGCCCCCCCAGCTCCGCTGCTGTGCCTTTTTCCATTTGTCTTACAATGGACTCTCATGGGACCAACAGTGAGTTTAGGTCAATGTGTGTTGCCTTAATTTTTTTTATGACAATTTTCTGTGTGGTTTACAGAACTGTTTAACGTAATAGCCTTAACTGAGACCAAAATGTATAAAGAAGTTTATTAAAACGTTGCACTTTTAAAAAAATACACGTGTTAGTTTATCAGTGTCTGTCTAATGAGCAGTTCACTCCGAGGGAAGCCTTTAATCGGTGTTGCTGCCTTTATGAAGTACTGATAAAGGATGGGGAAAGCTCTGCATGGAGGAAGCACTAACAAGGCTCTGGTGGCACCGGGGAGGGTTTTGGTGCTCTTGGAGTGAACTACAAGCCAGCATGGTGCTGCCTCATCCTCCCCACCCCTCACCTGTGTGCGGGGACACACCTGAGGGCGAGGGGCCATCGTTCATTATCGCTTTGAAGCCGCCTCTGTGCCCCGGCGGGGGTGCTTTTTTAAATAAACCGGGGCGGTAACGCCCGCCCGGCACTTCCCTTCCCGCCCCTCGCCCCGCCCCAAGATGGCGAGCGGCGCCTGAGTGAGGATCCGGTGCCGCCATGGCTGCGACGCGGCTGGAGCTGAACCTGATGCGACTGCTGAGCCGGTGCGAGGCGCTGGCGGCGGAGCGGCGGGACCCCGAGGAGTGGCGGCTGGAGAAGGTGAAGCCGCCCGGCCCCTCCGTCCCGCGGCACCGCGGGGCGGCCCCTCTGTAACCCTCGCCGTGGTGTTAAACCCACTGCCTCTGCCACACCGGGTGTTTCTCCTTAATGCTGTCGCTTAAAGCCTTATTTTTCTCCTCAGTATGTGGCTGCTCTCGAGGACATGCTGCGGGAGCTGAAGAAGCAGTCGAGGTGAGCGCTCTGAGTCCCTGTGTGCCCGTTGTGGTTTTGTGGTTTAGAGGGAACGGCTTCAAGTTGTGCCAGGCGAGGTTCAGGTTGGATATTAGGAAAAAATTACTCACTGAAAGAGTGGTTAAGCGTTGGAACGGGCCGCCGAGGGATGCGGTGGGGTCACCATCCCTTTCAAGTGTTCAAAAAGAGTAGACGTGGCACTTTGTAATGTGGTTTAGTGGGAATGGGGGGATTCAGTCGAAAGTTGGACTTGATGATCTTGGAGGTCTTTTCCAACCTTAATGATTTTGTGATTCAATAGTAATCTTATCTGTATGTTGCCATAGCCCACAAACACCACAGTATATTCTTCCCTGTGGAAATGCCTGTGCTCTGAGCTCTCCTTGTCTTGGAAAAGGTGATTTGCAGGGGGTTGCAAGTGTGTTCCTATCCTGAGGCTACATTTGTTAAAGACGCTTCTTTGAAGAACCACGTGTTGGTTTTTCCTGTCTTATTTTATTTGGAAAGTCACCTGAACAGTAGCAAATGCCAGTAACTTTTGGGTTTCTTGGTTATCTTTCAACTCCAATAGCAAGCCAGCCCCAGAACTGCTGAATGAGTACTCTCGCAAAGTGGACTTCCTAAAGGGACTCCTAGAAGCTGAAAAATTGGTAAGATCTACTAGTTCAACTTGAAAAGACTTCAGAGTTCTCTGCTTATTTCATCTTATTGCATAGTTCCTATGTTGGCCTTTATCTTGTATCTTAAAATAATAGTTGTTAAAGTCTTACTAGGCAGCCCTTGTAAAACTGTGAATAAATGTATTGGCTCCAGGTTTTGTTAAAAGGAGGTATTGTATGAAATCTGAATCTTCTTTCCTCCCTTTCAAAAGCAAAGTACAGCTTGCCTACATCCTTCTCACTCCTTAGCTATGAGTTGCAGGGGCAGGCACTGTCCTTCAGCCTTGACACCTCTCTGGATAGTGCCGTGTGCACCTGGAGAGCTGGGAAGTACCACTAAGCTGGATTTTAGCTCATGGGGTACAGTCAGTGCTGCTGAAGGATGAGGGTGATCATGCACCCAGGTGCCTCATGCTGCAGAGTGTGATATCTGTGACTTTTCACTGCTCCTTCCCACTCACAGTCCTCATCAACAGAGAAGGCTCTGGCAAACCAGTTCCTGGCCCCTGGGCGCACCCCCACAACAGCCAGGGAGAGAACCCCAGCGACCAAAACAGTCCATCTGCAGACCAAGGCTCGCTGCACGGGCCAGATGAGGAGTGAGCTGCTTGGTACAGTAGGTTTGGTGCTGCTGCTGCTGCTTTGCTGGTACTTTACAGATTGCCCTTGCCTTCAGCTGCCTTGGGTGGCTGTGCCTGAGCTGTGTCCCAGCCTGGGTGGGGAGTCACCTTTTTTCCGGTTTGGGTGGTCTGAATCCTGGACACAGGCACTGTACCAGGCCTGCAGGGCTGTCTCTTACCAATGACCCTTTGTAATCTGCTGATTTGGTTTTCTTTCTGCCTCCCAGGACCCTTTGGCTATCAATGGTGAGTTTGATGTGTTGCTTTTCTAACTTTAGTCAACCTGAGTCTTACAGGGAAAGGAGGAGGAAGGTCAGGTATTAGAGATTGCCCAAAGTGTATTTTTTAATTTAGTGGCTCACCTTTTTTCAATATAGATTTTAAAAACACACAAAACGAAAACCAGATGAAAGCGGAAGTGTTATCAATGGTAGCAGGAACCTCTTTTTGTAGAATTTGTACAGAAACAGACATTCTAGTTACAGAATTAGCAAGGACAATTTACCTTTATTGTTACTCCTGTTCCCTTCTGCTTTGAGCCAATCATGTGATTTTGGGCTCTTGGAGTAGGCGGTTGCTCTGGAATACACAGCCATGTTTTTCATGTAGGGAACTGGGAGGAATTAATTTGTAGTTTCCATGGCTGCTGTTACAGTGGCTGGAGCTGGGCCAATCTAACCTGTCCTGAAAAAACACTTAAGATACACAGGGCTCAAACCCTGCCCTCAGGGATGTGATTCATCCGGGGTTTTTTTTCCCTCTTTTGATGTTACATGTCCTCTTTTCCCTGCGGAGAGTAGGTAGGCATTTGACATCCATATTCCTTGGGACAGAGGCCAGGTAGAATTTGGACAGCTGAAAATCCCTTACAGACTTGTTTTTTCAGCCTGTGATTGCATGGGAATTTATAAGGTGCTAAAGCACAAATTAAACTGTTTTTTTTTTTTTTTATTTTTCCCAGATTCTGAGGAGTTGAACATAAGGAAGCGGAAGTAAGTTAAAATTTCTCATTCCAATGCTCAGCATTTTGGAAACTACTTTCCCAATGGTCTTTAAATCTCAGATGTACTTTGATTTGGGTGAAGTGTTGGCTGATAGAAACCAAACTGTAATGACTTCAACTGATTCAACTGGCCTTGTTGTACCGTAGAGTTGCAGAATCTGAGGAAACCTTGGGAGATTGACCCGCAGGGAAGTACAAATCCCTTTTTTTCCCCTTGTGCACTTGCAGAGGCCTCCAATCAGATGAGAAGCAGTCGGCAGTGGAGCTGGATGCTGTGCTGCAGCACCACCAGGACATGCAGGAGAAGCTGGCTGAGGAAATGCTCAGCTTGGCTCGCAGCCTCAAAAACAACACCCTGGCTGCACAGAACGTGATCAAACAGGACAACCAGGTAGCACACCTTGAAGCTGTAACCCCTCAACTTTCCAACCCAGGAGGTTAAAGTACTCATAAGTGAAATTCTGTACCTATAACTCGATTCCAGGTGTTATTAGAGTGGGGAGACTGGAGGCAATACCTACCTGCTGCTGTGTGTGGTTGAATGTTTTCTCTGTTGGAGGAAATGTCAGCCAGCACATGCAGCTCTGAGTCTGACACCGTTTGCTCTCTTTGCTCCACAGACACTGTCCCATTCCCTCCGGATGGCAGACCAGAACTTTGAGAAGCTCAAGGATGAATCCGACCGCCTGGAGCAGCACGCGAAGAAATCGGTCAACTGGCTGCTGTGGATAATGTTAATTGTAGTTTGCTTTATATTCATCAGCATGATTCTCTTCATCAGGATTTTCCCCAAATTAAAATGATGCTTTTTTATTTCATTTAAAGCTGCCAGCAGTGCAGCTGGAAAGCTCAGGTGGTATTAGAACTGTCAGCAGTCAATGTCTTTGCCACTTGTCATGTCCTTAAAGGGGCTGTCCAAGGACTACCTACCCTTGCATTCCTTCCTTGTGCAGGCTTGGTTTCATGGGGAAGGTTTTCCACACTTGGATACTTGGCTACTTCTTACCTGGTGACTATTGTTGCTGATCAGAGTTTACACGGAGCTGCTGACAAGGTCTTTAATGGACACATACAGTCATTTTTAATGTGGTCGTGGTAAATGTTACGACTCCTAAAAGGCGTTTAGTCAATATGAATATAAATAACAGGTGAAGTCTTACACTCTTTCTGCACAGCTTTTCTGTACTGACCTAGGACTTGCTGCCAACAGGATATTTAATTTCAGCTCTGTACATACAGAGCTGTAGGGGCAGGAAGAGAATTCCGCCATTGAGGTGCTTGCCTGGCTCAGATTCAGAGTTATCAACAGGTAACCTCAGGCTCACCTTTTTCCCAGATGGATATTTGGGACTTAGGACTTCACAGTCTTCTCCAGTTTAGACTTATAGGTCTGGAGTTGCTGGCTGTTGCAATGTTTGCTTCCCTTTTGTATGTGCAAATGTTCTCACTTCTCATTGTTATGTTGACTCCGTTGCAGGAAGAAAACACCTTGACCTTGCACCACAGAACTGTAAACACAGAACCCCAGGTGGCACAGACCTCACCTGTGCAAACATGTTTTCACTTTACGATGGGGGTGTAAGGAAGGCGGTGTCTTCAAGATGGAAGTAATAATTAAAAAAATACTCAGCCTTTCCTTTTTGAGACAAATCATTCTGGTCCAGAGTGTTCCTGTCAAATGTCTTCTTAAGGGTTCACTACAGTAAAACAGATAAAGTAGAATTAATATTTTTAAAACACTGGTATTGCTAGAAAAACTTAGAGCTTGCAGTACAGCAAGGTTTATGTGACAGTGTAAGAGTCTTTGTAGGTGCTTGTGGTAAGCGGAAAGCAAACCCTTCTGCAGCTGTGCTGGTGTTCACGGAGTCCCCCTCTGGGAAGGGTCGGTGTTCAGGAGTGAGGTGTGTTCCACGGAGGAGGGGAGGGCACCAGGTGACCCCGGGTGTGCTTTGGCCATTTCTGTTGCTGTTAGGAACCACCAGATGGGGTGTTCCAGGCCTGGCTGGTGATCCCAGCAG